GCAAAATTTCTTCATTTTTGCAGTTTCTCAAAGCCCCTTGGCCGTCAAAAATTGATTGGGCCGAAGAAGCAAAATTTGGCTAAATTCTGGCAGCATGTTGCAAAAACAACGAAAATGCAAAGGAAACAAAAATTTTTGCACAGATAATATTCAAAATAATTTCAAAATTGCAAATGATGAATGATGAAACAAAGCAAAAGATAACAGACAGTTTAAGATAAATGCAAGTGAAAACTTTTGTAACCTATAAAGCAAATTTTGATTACGGTATCACTCCCAATAATTAGCAAAAATTTAGCTTTTTGTATACTGCGTTGCATTTGGCTGGCTGCATTTGGCTGGCTGCATTTGGCTGGCTGCATTTGGCTGGCTGCATTTGGCTGGCTGCATTTGGCTGGCTGCATTTGGCTGGCTGCATTTGGCTGGCTGCATTTGGCTGGCTGCATTTGGCTGCCAACCACAAAATATGTGGTTGTTAACCATTCAAAACAACTGGCAAAATTCTGAAGGTGGAAAGTTACAATTTACTCCCGAAATGAAATAACAGATTCTGGTGTAAACCGATCAATGGAAACAACGATTCTTTCAAATAATATCAGAATAATGCCAGAGTTATGCTAGATTCCAAATTATGCAAGATTTTATGCTAAATGAAGATTTTTTACCAATATTATGCTAATATTACGCTAGCTTAGGTCACTCTGGCACCAGCCCACAAGGGAATGGCTGAAACGGGACTAGGAGGCTTGCCTCTGAATTGTTTTCACTTTAAATGTTAGAAGACTGGGCAATTTCATGTTCTCTAGCTGCTGCAAATATTTTAGATATTTTCTTCTCCTTGAACCTATCCTTTAAAATCTTGGCTATTTTCCTAATATAATAAAAAAGGTCTCGAAAAGTCTCGAATAAGGTCCACGTTTCCAATGTTCTCTTAAATTAAGGGGTTGTTTTTAGTATTTGAAGCCTTATAGGAGCCATGTTTTGTTTTATTGATCTTCTTGTAGTGGCAAGATGTAATTTTAAACTCTGCCAATGTAATTTATTTGACAAAATAAGTGTTAATGTAAGAGGTAAGGTAAGAGGTATTTTATAAAGATTTTGGCAAAGACTTCTGATGATTTATATTGCTTAATAGGTGTATTGGGTTGTACAGAAGCATCCTTCTATTCTTTCGTGAAGACAGGAAACTGTGACCGTTTATATAGGAATGACGCTTGTACATGCTAAGGTTGTGCGTTCCCACCGTAATAAGTAATGTAAAGCTTAGTCTCAAAAAACCTATATAAGCACAAGTTTGTTGCAATTTATATTTTTTAAGTCTGGTGCGCAGTCCCTTCTGCCTACATGCATATTATGTAACTGCCCCCTTGGCCGAGCACGCTTTGCACGGCCATGTCCACAACATTAGTATTGACGATGCATTTATTGCTTGAATATTACGATGGAATATTACGTCAACCTATAATCATTCTGAAAACTGTACGTAGTTATTTTGTTTATCATACCTCTCCCTCGAAAACACTTAACTATTGTAAGAGAACCCTATGACACCATCCAAAACTACCGAAAATTTCTTGTGGTCCCTATTTGTTTGTGGGCTCAGTCGGAAGTACGGCGCGGCTAACACGGCTACAGAGACTATCATATCTCTTTGATGGGCACCAGGGGCGAAACTCCTGGGGGGGGGATGGAGGGGTGCAAGCAGATTTTGTCGGGCAAATTTATGGCTGCCAATATATCAATCTGGCAAATCTGAAAACTTTGTTTAGGTCGCTTAAGCATTTTTTGCTACTTTTTGCCCCAGCTTGGTTTTTGAATTAATGGTGTTTTACCTCATCATTTTCAATCTCCGCCCAGCTAGGAAAACAAAACAGAAACGAGGCGAGCAGCAGCAACATAATTACATTTCTGTTTTTCGTCTCAAGCTCGACACCGTGTACCATTCAGCACCAGATTCAGCACCAGATTCATCCCCAGATTCATCCCCAGATTCATCCTCAGATTCATCCCCAGATCCATCCCCAGATTCATCCCCAGATTCATCCCCAGATTCATCCCCAGATTCATCCCCAGATTCATCCCCAGATTCATCCCCAGATTCATCCCCAGATTCATCCCCAGATTCATCCCCAGATTCATCCCCATGTAGTAATATGCGGTTCTCCGTCAATTTCTACTAGATACTTTGTCTTCAATGTTGCTAGTTGGCCAAGGCAGTACTTTTCATCCCCAGATTCGGGGTCACAGGGATAACAAACAACCACAGGGATTCAATTGCAAAACTTATTCAAACAAATCAAGGTTGTCAAGGGAATCAGGCAATGGGAAAATCAATACAATTCCATGAATAGAGAGGCCTAGGTAAATGGCTTATGGAAGTTTTCCAGATTTACGAGGGCCATAGGCATAATGGAAAGAAAGGCGGTGGAAAATTTTTGCGACCACACCCTTAAGATTAGCGTAAAATACATTCCAGAACTTTTGTTGCAGTCTTTTTCTTGCAATTGTTTAAATTTTTTTGCTATAATTAAGGGATAGTTCTATTACATTTGATTAATTCCAGTCTTAAAATGGAATTCAGTACTTTTTGAGGCAAATCAAGCAATAGAAAAAAGGCCCCAGACCCCCCCCCATCTGGAGCAACCCATGTGCTAGTACAAAGCTCTTAGAATGATTCTTCTCTTGTATAGTATAACACCTTTCTTTAGTATGAGGAATTATTTCTAAGAAACTAATACCAGGATGGTCAAAAATTTAAAGTACTTAGTACAATGTTCAAGGACAATTTGAACAGTAAAGTGTCCATTTTAAAAAAAGAGTTAGCAATGGATACCGAGTTCAATTAGGGTTACCGATCTCATACTGAGTTATATTACTCTAAATGATGTTTAAGGACATCATGCTGTAGCCTGTGTATAAATTGCATTGTGCCAGCAGCTGCGACAGTGTGTATAAAAAAATAATACGGTCCAAGACGCAAAAACCGGGGGCCCCTCTCAACTTTGCTGAAGGAAAATTAATGCACTATTTTGCAGCTTATATTACCCTTTGATTGCCTACATAAGTCATCCCTCTCTTCACTTTTTGAATGCTGCCATAGAATGCTATATCATATTTTTATTAATGACACAAAAATCTCTTGAACCAAGAAAACTTCTTTCATTTTTTGAAATTGGTAAAAGTATCCTTGTGGTCGTTTGGTATCCCTATGACCGCGAATCTGGGGATGAAAAGTACTGCCTTGGCCAACTAGCAACATTGGAGACAAAGTGGTAGAAAAGTGACATTTATCTAGTAGAAATTGACGGAGAACCGCATATTACTACACATTCTTTCGAGCTATTGTCATTTTGACACATTTCAAGCTGTTTTTAGGCCCATATTATACAAAACGCGAATCTGAGGATGAATCTGGGGATGGAAAATACGCATGCCTACGCCCGCTAAAAACATAAAAAAATAAACTGGCAAGGACAAGATTTTATCGAGTGGAAATTGAAAGGAAACGCTGGAAATAACATATTTTCTTACTATCATTGTCATCTCGACACATTTCGAGCAGTACAAGCAAGTTTTCGAAGCTGGGGATGAATCTGGGGATGAATCTGGGGATGAATCTGGGGATGAATCTGGGGATGAATCTGGGGATGAATCTGGGGATGAATCTGGGGATGGAATCTGGGATGCTCTGGGTGAACTCTGGGGCTGAATCTGGGGTGAATCTGGGGCATGAATCTGGGGATTGATCTGGGATGATCTGGAGATGAATCTGGGATGAATCTGGATGAATCTGGGGATGAATCTGGGGATGACTTCTGGGATGATCTGGGGTGAATCTGGGATGAATCTGGGGATGAATCTGGGAATGAATCTGGGGATGAATCTGGGGATGAATCTGGGGATGAATCTGGGGATGAATCTGGGAATGAATCTGGGGATGAATCTGGGGATGAATCTGGGGATGAATCTGGGGATGAATCTGGGGATGAATCTGGGGATGAATCTGGGGATGAATCTGGGGATGAATCTGGGGATGAATCTGGGGATGAATCTGGGGATGAATGGTACGCGATAAGCTCGTCGACGTACACCTTTTTTATCTTCGCCTCAAGATGGGGAAGCTGTTACAAGTAACAAGAAATTTTAAGCTGAAAGTTCTAGCAGGAAATAATAGAACATCTAGCAGGGAATTGTAGTTAAGATAAGAATTGCAAACAATATCCAAAACTTCGAATTTCTTCTATTTCTAAACAGTATCCATAATTACGAAAACACGAAAATTGAGCTTTGATGATAGGTATACCTGTGAAATATTTCTTTGCATAAGCTTGAGGTATTTTGTTATGGTGAATTCAGAGATACTTACTTTGTGCTTGGGTGTCTAAAAATGTTTAATTTCCTTACGGAGAAACCGTAAGTTTCTAAATTCCAAAATTTCCAAGCTGTGTTTTGTTGTTTCACTGTGATCAAATTGAGACTCTACTTCAATCTCTTTTTTAAATTGCTCTCTTTATAGCTAAGAGATTTAGAAAGTGAAGACTATTTTTCTTTTATAGAAAAATTACTTGCTTTTCGGAAACAAATGTTTATAGCCAACACAAGAAAAACTAGAGGCATATTTTTTTGGCTTTTGGTGTTTTTAGCAGCCTTAGCCAGAAAAACAGCCTGAGTCTGAAGGCCTAATATACTTAGTGACTCTCTCTCGTGGTCCCCGAAAATTTCCCTAAATTTTTTTAAAATATTTTTGAGGCGATGTGCCCTGAAAATGATCCCTTTCGTCGGGCATCGAAGCTTCATACCCCCCCCCCCCCCCCCCCCCCCCTAATGAAAATAATGTAGTTTTGCCCCTGATGGGCACATCTCAAATTAAGCTATTGTTTAAATTTCCTCTCCCTCTTTTTCTTGGCCTCACTGACAGCAATGACTGACGGTACTTGACAGTCCAGGCCGTGGAGCCCCCTTTTTGGGTCACACTCCTCTCATGTGATAATTCACTAATATCTTGTTCCCCTGTTTATAAAGATGGCTGCAAAAAGTCGGGAAATTATTTAGAAGTTTGTTTGGATGGTAAATCTCAAAGGAACAGAAGTTGGAAGAGCAATAGAAAGTACTCATACATCTCATGGAAATACAAGCGAACTGAAAAGATATGGGCTCAAATCCAAGAAAGGCAAAAAAGTCAGCGTCGTCGACGAGCCTGATGGCGTTCAATTACCAACTTTATGAAATATCTCATGTTTTGAGACTAAGACCTTTCCCACCAGCTTCTGACCAAGCTGACTATGTTAAAATAGGTATGACTTTTAAAAATTTAGTCTGCTCTCTAAGCCAGACTAATATTACTATTTCCATCGCTGTACATTGATTTTACAACAGAAATCAAGAGCATTGCCATCAATTTCAGATTTCATTCACTCCACCAAGAACTCGCTTCGAGAATCCCTACAAACCAGGGTCGTTTAAGGTAGATCCCACAAGTTATACAGGTCACATAAATCTTTAAAATACAGTAGACTCTGATAATAGTCGCAACAAAAACTGCTTGAAACTTTGTGGCTGCAAACGCAGCCTAATTGAGTAGCTTTGCATATTTGGGTCAAAATTTTATGTGACTGTATCCAGTAATGTAACTTTAACCAGAGTGACTATATAGAGTGACTAAGTGAAGTCTACTCTATGATAAAGAAGATATTAGACCAGCTGTTTGGGTAGCCAGTATGGATTCCATGGTAGCTGCACTCCTGAGAGATTTTTGCAAAAAATGAGTGCACTCAAATTAGAAAGTTTTTTCAAATATGGCAAAATGACTTTTTAAATTTGTCAACAACTGAGATTGGAAAAAATGTGTCAGTCTAAACTGCCTGATCACTTAAGATTAGGGCCGGTAAAAAGATTTCAGTGTGGCTGAGGCAAAACTGTAAAAGAAAGGCACCCTTGCAAGCAGAAAATTGTTGTGACCCCTTTCTCTAGATTGGCTGCAGAATACGCTGCAGAATATTGTTTGCAATCATTTTCTTGCAATTGTTTCAATATTACTTTGTTTTGATTGTTTCATTGTCACATTTTACTATTATTTCCATTCTGTAATACTTATTACTAGCATTCAACTATAAACAAATAAAGTCCATTCTTAAAATGGAATTTTTTCTTTATGAGGTTCCCTAGACATCAAGAACCTTCAGCAATTTGCCCCCTTGCCCCCTCTCTGTGGCCTTGCTTGTGAAATCATATCTTTGGCCTTTTTAAACATTATTTTTTAAGCTTTCTCTTCACTTGCCATATCTTTAGGAATTTGAAAAACGGCCACTAATGGTAGTGATAAGTTAGCATAGTTCAACTTTAAATCATGAATTTCCCAGAGATGTAAAATTGATGTAAACAGGAAAAGTGCCGGACAAAATATGCACACACTCAAGAATCACTGAGAAATTTGATGCACACTCAAATGTGTACACTTACAACAAATGCACTCTTCCACTCCCGGTTAATGGCTTGTGCACTCCTGAGATCTCGTCAAAAACTGCCATGAAATCCAGACCGGTTGGATAGGTGTCTGGGATGTAGAGGCAAAGGGAAGGCTGCAACTCAGACTGTTGAGTCTGGCAAGTGCTCTACAAGCCTCAAACTGTGACATCGTATATCAAGCAATAAAAATAGTTTACATAAAATTGTCAAATTCTACGTTCTTTGTACCAGGTTGAGTCAGAAGATTGTTGTGTTGCCCCACTATGCAATTTTTAGTTTGATATGTTAATCTTTTTATTAGACCCTTGTTATGTCAACTTGAACAGCTTGAAGTCAGATCCAAATCCAGGGACTGTGAAAGATATTTTAAAGAGAGGGAAAAATGTAATGACTGTTGATGACGGGTTGGCCACCACCATGGTTGGCAGCAAAAGAATTTAGATTATACTTATCTAAGGACGACCAGGAACTGCATCTAAAATAAATCTTTACAGGAAAAATATCTAAGGGGATATTTCAAAGTGCGAATGAAGAAAAGGCCACAGTAGCAGGCTGCTCGATAGACTCAAAGGAGTTCTTGCAGCGAAAAATTGATGAAAATGTAGCAAATAAGAAACACTGCAATGCAACGAGAATGAACAACAATAAATTACGTAAATTAGTGAAGACTGATATTTTGCCCCAGCATACGAGCCTTCTTCAAAGCAAAAGTAAACGGACTAAAAATGTACACATTTAAAAGAGGTGATGGTGGTGTCGGATTAGTTGATGTGGAATGTTGTGAATTAAGTGCAGCAGTGGATGAGGGAAGGGTGGCGAATGAGAGAGCGTGGGTGGTGGTGGAATGAAAATGTAATGAGGATGAAGTACAGTAATGGTTTGTTGTTGAGTTGCAATAATGTTGTTATAATAAGGTCATTGATGGTATGTTCTGGGCTGCAGGAGTGTTCTTGGCTACACCAATAACTGTATGGCAATATCATCTAAAAATAAATTGTGTTCAATTTTTTTCAAATCATAGTTTTTGTTTAAATGTGATCTCCTGTTTTGATTTTAAATCTGATCTTTTTGTTATAGGCTTATTACATGTCTACAATTTAATGTCATACTTATTTGTGAAACTCATGTGCCATACAATTACATAACTCCTTTTTTTTCGAATTGCATCAAGATGATTTGCTCATGAACTTACTTACTTTGTTTTGCCCACAGACAACACTACACCATACTTCTCTGATTGTTGCTTTCAAGAAACTGCTGAAAGATCACTACTTGTTCTTCTTTGTAGCAATGGTAAGGAAGCAGCTTGCATTTTATGATTCTGATTACCATAGTGGATTATTCATATGAATAAGAGCTCCTATACCAATTCAGGTTTATAGTCACAAACAAATTTGTTTTGCATTCTACTTTCTTTGTGCAGTACAGACTTTGTTCAGATATGACTCTATCAGTGCATGTGCAGAGTAAAATTCAAAAATGTTCCTAATCATTTATAGTTACTCGCACAAAAAATTATCTTGATATAGTTTATTCAAACTATGAGATTTATGACATTAAACTGTATTTTAAAGTCTAATTACATTTAAAACTACCCATCCTTTATGGGGTTGGAGATGTGCTGAGTGTAAAGGTGTGTTGGGTTGGTTTTCTACCCAGCCTGCAGTAAATAAGAGAACAAATTGATTTAGTTTACAGCCTGTATCCAATTTTTTAAAGGCAGTGTGTCATGCTGTTCATTGGCTGCTGTTTGTTGAGTTTCAAGGGTCCTTAAAATAGAGAAGCTGAACAAATTAGTATCACTGACCAATAGCAAGTATTATATCACCTTGGTTGAGAAATGAAAACTCGATGAAATGTAATGTTTTCTTTGTTTGGGTAAACCAATGAACAACCGGAAACACTGCCTTTGAATCAAAACTTTAATTTATCTTGTTCAATAAATTTTGAAACATGATTTAAAGAAATTTAATTGTTTTTCTTACCAGGAGCATTACTTATGCGATTGAAGGAGAAGGGATCATGTCACATTGTCAAACAATTTGAATGGTTCCAGGTTGATACTTTTTGGGTTTTTTTTAATTGTTTATGTTAGGGAAAGGCCAGGGAACTTAAAGTCTATAGCAATGCCCAAGGGAAAAAGAAAGGGATTAAGAAAAGAGGAAGGAAAGATCATATTTCTTGATTTTAGTTTTGAATTAATACAGGGTCTAAGAATCTAGAAGAGGAAGAGGGTTGAGAGCTCCAAAGTACATAAAATCTTGACAGGAAGATGAGTTGTGGGACATGGTTCATGAAGTTTGGTAAAGAGGCTTGAAAAGGGTGAGCCCTGGAACATGTACATGGTATAGTCTTTATTAAATTAATTGGGTGATCAGCAACTCATCACTAATAACAATGAGGTCGGAGAGACCTTGGTTGCAGTTGTTGGTAAGTCGCATGGTTTTTGATTGGATTTTGGCAAGGAGGCACAAGGATAACAAATAATGAGCAGAATCCAAGTGCTCTAAAAACGAACCCAGTCAGCACTCCAATTAAGGTTGGATTGTACAGAAAGGCCTGATTGTGAAAAGAAATTAGAAATATCCATACACTTACCTTTAATGTGTAACGGTTTTGAATTTATATTTAATCAATTTAGTAATGTTGCCGTTGCGTGTTAAAGTCACAAAGTATCAGGTTATTAGTGTGTGTTGATCACATTATGAGTTTGTCTTTATGTTGAAGCATTTGAGATAACATCAAAGAAGTAGTATCGTTTGTTCGTTACTTATTCAGGGCCTAGGCCCTTTGGCCTAGCCCATGGCTCCACCAACAAGCTGGTTATTCACTGGTTCTTCACCGTCATAACAAGAACCCCTGAACTTTACACATGGATATCCAAATGGCTTTAGTTTGATTAAACCTTATGAGATTGTCTAAGCCCCTCGTCCCATTTTTTGCTGGTCATCAATGAGAAGTGAGACTGAAATATTTCCTTGAAGTGGGTGACAGTAACAGAATCATCTTGAAAATTGACGGTGAACAGAGAGCTCAGATAGATGTCATCAGCGAAAGATTATATACTTCAATGATGAAATTGGCAAGAATCCAAATAAAACAAGAGATATTGTGAAATGATAGAACCCTGTGGAATACCAGCATTATTTCATAAGTTCATTAGCATTGATTCATGAATCATTTCTAAGTTGTTTGTAATTTTGGAATCGTTAAGTTTTATTTGTATCAGAACTCTGTGCCAAAATCGAAACAGATGTTGCATAACACAACGGAGAGCTCTGAATGCAGACCCTAAAAACTCGATTCTCAGCCTGCATCATTCTGCCTCTATTTTGGGCAGACTTGTAGTTAACTGTTAATGGCCACAGAGTTGTGATGCACTTCCATGCTCCTTGTGGTAACGTTTTGTATATTGTGTTCATTGTCAATTGTTATACGCATAGATAAAAAAGTAAGATTGCACTCAGCATGACACTCAATAGTTGCATCTTAGAACTGTCGAAGCATGTACAGCTCTGCCTACACAGGCGCCGCGGAGCAGGGGGGGGGGCTTAAGCTACCCGCTATCTACCAGTAAAGCCTCTTTTTATACGGTTTTAGCCCCCCACAACTTTTTTTAGACCCCCTACTTTTCTCAACCCTCCGCAGTGCCTGATATAAGGCATCAAGCATCACTATATGAGGGCACATAAACAGGAATTTTCATAGTTTATATGTTCAGTGACTGAAACCATGGAGTTTCAAACTCAATTAGCTTTTGAGATATGCAAAAATTTTGAAAACAACATGAAAATGTCATAGCAGGCACGCTGTTTTCAGCTTTTTTAACGTAGCCATGTCTTAGGAATGTTTTTGTTTTAAATCCATGTATCATTAGCCTGAGTGAACTGACTCTCTGTCACCTGATATTAATGCCCTCATTGCGAAGATCTGCATAAGACTTGCAGTGTGAAAGCTAGCAGCAACTCATAACAGATGGGAAGATCTTTTTCAAAATTTTTTGCAACTCTTGATTCATTTTGAAAGGGTTTCTCACAGAAATATTATTACTGAATCAAGGAATCATTATTGCTAGCCTAAATTTGTTTTCTTCAAAAGCGTTTTACATTCTAGAACCCATCAAAACGAGTTCAGAGCTTTGCGATTGATCCTGTTCATGCTGCATGGGTGATTGTTGCATCATCTGACTTGGGGCTGTATATTCTCCCTGCTTTAGCACAACTCAAGGTATTATGTTCTTCGAGGTTACTGTTAATACCAGATATTGCTAAGATTTTTCACCAATCCAGTCTTTTCCTAAATTTTTCATTTAAATGCTAAGATAGCATTATGATTTACTGAATTTTTGGCTACTGTCAATTATTACTGAACTTCTGTTTGATTTTCAGCCTGATTCATGTGACAATAATGTTTCTCTATCTTGGTCTTTAACAGACCTAACAAAAATGGCAGAAACAAAGCAGACAGGTATTTAACAACTATAAATCAATGTTAGGCATATCACTGAGGCTAACTTTTACCTACCAACTTCATTTACCACTTGAAACACACCTTTCTTATAGATGTTACAACATAACATTTTGTGCTTAAAAATGTTTTCTTTATTAGAATAAAATATATTGTTACAGTTTATAATAAGCATAGTTAGTACAGTCAAACTTGCTTCAGTAGGATCTCCTAGGGCCGAATAGTATGGCATATTGTATTTCCTCTAAAGTACGCCGTAACATTTGTTACAAAATCCAAATTCTGGATATACCGTTTATCAGAGGGTGGCGATTAATACAAAATGAAAAGTGTTTCAAATGAATGATAATGAAAAGAGAAGTGCGATGAAAAAGGTAAAAACGTATCTTAAACAATGTTTTCCTTTTCCAAACACACGTAATGATAATAGTGTGTAAAAAATTTTAATTCGGCACTTAATATAGAAATGATCAGAGAAGTCAAATTGGTGAATGAGAGAATTGTTTCAATGCAGTTTTCTGAATGTCGGTCGGAATGCGGAGTAGTTTTGATTCGAAGTTGCGAACGTTTAAAAGTACTTGTGTTTTCTATGCTCGTTGTCTGGCCTTGGTTAGGACTGTTTAGAGAGGATTTTTAAGCCCCTAGTTACGGTTAATGTTATAATATCGTCAAGTTGATTCATTGCCCTTTTTAGTAAAATTACTTTGATTCGATAGGTAGATAAAGCATTTTGTTTGATAGGAAAAACAGCTAGTATTGTCTGGTGGCACACATTTGATGACAGGAACATTGCAATTATTGGTACAGAGGTATGTTAACTGCTTGATCCGTACATGTTAGCTAGTAAGTCGCTGGTTCAGAATGGAATTTTTGTTTGACAAGTTTTGCTCAGTGGTGAACACCTAGGGGGCGAGGGGAACATAGTGGTCACCGCCAAACATGGTGAAGGTCTTTTGTTCTAAAACAATGGGGAAATTTGACGTCATCTTTCCAAAACAAAAGGTTTGCCCCCCCCCCCAATATTTGACCAAGCGTTTTTGAATGACACTTGCTATAACTCTCCTCTTTCAGGTTAAAGCAATTCAATTTTACGCTGTTTTATTTTGTTTTGTAAATTCAGTTTATTCAATGGCAGAATATTTCCTTTTTCAGCATGGAGAGGTAGTTTTTGTAGACCTTATGGTGCATCAACAGGTTCACTCGATTGCTATTCGTGAGAAGATCAGGAGACTTGAGCTTATGCAGGACCTGAGTGAGCATGCAACACATCTCCTGGTACGTTTTACAATGGTATATACCTACTTTGCAAAAGTATTCCCATTGTCATCACGGTTGAAATATTTTAGCCTATTCGCATTGCACTTGTAGCACTGTTGAACAAGGATGTTCCAGTTTTTCAGTGTTCAGAGTCTGAAAATTCTTATAAGTTCATTGACCGTCTAGCATGATCATGGTGAAGATTCTTTGACAATATTTGATAATTGTTTTTTGGTCATGTTTTATCACATTCTGGGTGTTGGTGAGTTCAATCTTTAAAAAATGTGACACAAAAGCATGGAATTTCAAAATGTAATATTTCCAATTAGCATCTGTAATTTGTAGGGTTTCTGAATAAACTTCGTGAGGTAGTTATAGAGCATAAACAGCACTTGAAGATACACAAGTTAATGTCCTCAGCTATCAGTTGCTCTGAGTTCATATGTTTATTTACGCTATTACTCAGAATTTCACGCTTTTTGTCGTGTGTTTTAATCTTGCTGGGGGTTCTTGGGACGCTTTGTCTCATTGTATCATTTAGGACGCTTTGTATAGTTTCATGAAAGTTCCTTATGTAGCCATTCGCTCTAAGTAAGTTCAGCAAATATTGAAAATGCCTGTTTTAATTTATCACTCTAGAGTACAGGTCTTTTCTTATTTCTGTAGGCTGTCTTTTGTGCCCAGTTCAAACAAACTTGCATTTTCTGAATTTTATTCTTTGCCCTATTAAGATTCACACCGCTACAGACACAACATGGAAAATTTTCCTGGAATGGCCGTGTGAAATCGCCCACATAACATCACCGTCGAGTTACACTTCAGCGTTTGACATGGGCTACGACATGGTAGCAGAGTGTGGTATGGACACAATTTTGGTATACGCTGCAGAGGACGGGAGGGAAGAGCCCAAGATTACCAAGCTAAAGGTTAGGTTCAAATTTCTGTAAAGAACAAAAATAGAAGTTGTGTAGAAATTATAATTATGAATAAGAATACCGAATCGTCTCATGGTAGTTTTTCTAGAGGTATCGACGTGATGTTAATGATATACGGAGATCTGCAAGTGCACTAGTTTCCAATCTTCTTATTTAAAGAATGTGCAATGTAATTTGTAGCTGTGTATGTTTTAGTTTAATGTCTGAGGGAAACATTCAGCCATGCTAGGTTTTCTGCAATCAAATTCATCTGATGACGAGACAAAGTAAAAAGCAAGATCTATTTAGGTTTCTTCAGACCATTAAAATTGTTCAATGCCTAGTCAATTTTTGCAGATGCATTATCATTTTCAAGGAAGCCATGTAACTAATAATTGCTTTTCAAATTCCACCAGGCACCTTCTCAAGAGTGCCGGTTGTCTGTTCAAAGACTGAAAGATCAAGTTGTCGTAGCAAGACATTTGACCAAGCATGAAACACTTGAGGTATTCAGATGATTTTCACTTTGCGAATTTTTTGTATTTGTCATTCTTTGTCATGCTTTTGCTAATTGTACTGAAACATAAATAATGCATTCAAGACATAAAGGTGCAAATGTATAAAATAAAACATCATTTGTTCTCATCTCTAAACCAAGAGAGCGTGCTGAAAATCGTTCGGTTGTAGCAAGAGTTTGTACTGTCCTGTGCCTGGAGTTTTCAGGGATGCTATGAAGTTGTTGATCACGTAAGAAATTGTTTGATATAGGCTGTTCTGCCGCATCCACAGGTCTTCAACTACATAGAAAGAGTGGCAGATTACGCGCCAGAGTACAGCTATCAACTTCCATTTAACACAAAAAGTGCTGTTGTCTCTGACACCCTCATCTTTGCCTTGACACGCAAAGACCGTCAGGTAAGAAAGCATAGCCAAAACAAAAATATATTGGATTGATTGTTTAGTTCATAACTGCTTCTAATTTTGTATTCTAATACAGCAATGTTATCAGCTGGAGCTTTTTTCGCCATTTGTGCGCAATTTTATGCCACTTTCTTTGATTATTGTTAACCTACAAATTGTGTAGTATATGAGTTTTTTTGATGAACCGAATTCTAAGGTTCTGATTTGCTGCTTGACAGCCTTCTTTTAGTGTTCTATCAAAGAGATTTGCAGGATCAGCGAATACCGCTCAACCAAGAAAAGTAAGCGTTATGGCAAAATAATTGTTTATTTTTATATATATATAGTACCTTATTTATACAACTATGGCGCAGACTCATTAAATCTACACTGGCATTCAATATTTTGTTCATAAAACCCCATTGCATTTCAATGTTTCAGCTGCAATGTTTTAAGTTATGTTTATTTTTCACAAGTGAACTATTTCGCACGTGTTATTTTTAAAAATTCATGAACTAACGATTTTTAACTCGTTCAAAGCTTCATTCTGGTTTGAAACTGGAATCCGTGGGCATTTTGACGTACAATCAAAGATTGCTAATATAAAAAAATCGCCTTATTCTCCACTGAATTTATTTTGCTTAGTAAGCCAATTAAACACTTTCTTCAGATCTTACTGGCATCTAGTTAATTATGCCATTTGACAGGATAAGATCTTTCGTATAATTTAACTTTATTTAAGTCGCTATGAACGGAAATCCTGCCTTTTCACAGTGGGTAGCGTGAATTTAAAATCAAGAACATTATTTTGCGATCTTTTTTGATCCAACTGTTTCCGCAATGTTTTATAAACTTTAAATTTACGGTATATCTTCAGCAACATTTGATATGAAAGCAGCAAATTAACTGTTATTAACTTCCACTGTAGATTTGGGCATCAAAATTAGCTTTCCAAACCTTCTAGCAAACAGTTGAAGTTTGGGCGATATAGTCAGCTTGGCAAAGGTTTTAAGAGTAGATACTGAAGCTTATTTTGCACACGGTTGATATTTGATCATCAAAATTCAAAGAAAATGGTCATCATGTACATCATCAAAATCGGTACCAATCAGTTTCAGATTCAGATTAGAAGCAGACATAACTTCTAGAAAAACTTAGCTCCCATGTCTCCTAAAATAAAAAAAATCCTTTTCTTTGAGAAATGTTCTTTCCATCATGATTCAGAAGCATTTTATAGCCAATTGCAGAATGTAATCATCTCATGAGTGAGTTCAAGCAATTTCCCTCATATTCCTAATGACAATGCCTTACAACTCTTGTTTTGTAGGTTCATTTCATTGAATTATGTCGTTCTTCCTTTGCAGCGATCAGACTCTTCCTCCTACAAGGCGGAGTTGCAGAGCTTTTCATTAAGCCAATCAGAAGCGGTCTTGGCGTATTTTGTATCGTCGTTCAAACGCCCGATGGCTTGGAAAAATCTGTTTCCCCATTCTAAAGGAATGAAGGAAGAAATACCGCTAACATTGTGCACCATTGTCACTGAAGGGGGCATCATCGAATGCAGACCAAGGTACTGCAATGAACGTGATATATTTACAGATAGATACCGTATTAAGTGCGAGGAAGGATCAGTGGTTAGGGTCGCGGACTACAGATCCGAGGGTTTGGATCTGGAGTCCCTGACACAACAAATCTTTTACCAAGAAGGAGGAGAGTCGCCAGCTCTATGCATTTCCAGGTGTAGGCATCACGAGGAGTGTTAAAAAGGAGGAAAGAACAGAACACTGCTCGATAAGCACAAGTTCTTAGTCTCATAAGAACCACCTTCGAATGCTAATGGTAGCATAGATACCGTATCAAGTAACATCGCCTGGGTTACTGTATATACTACCAATGCTTTGCAATGTTTTGTAATGGTTGTTAACAGGAACTGTTTTACTACACAGGATATCCCCAGAACACTACTTCACAGAACTTTGTCGCAACGATGAAGGTGGTGCTGCGGAGGCCCTAGGGATAACTCTTGACCTGAATGTGCAGTATCTGTGCGAGGTTAGTCAACTATCATATTCGCAATCTTGTCTGCCTTTTGCAATCATACTTGCCATCTCCCCACAACGTGCCTTCTGACAAATTGATTTTTCAATTTTCATTTGTAGCTTGTTGCCGAACAGAAGTTAAAGGAAGGAGATTTTCAAGGTGCAACTAAGTTTTACAATTTGTCAGAGGTAACGAAAATTTGTGTGTTTGTTGGTATTCAGTTCTGACATTGCCCATCCCAAAAAAGTGTTATTTGACCATCACATTTTCGTTAGGACTGCCTGACGAGTAAAGATAGAAAAGTTCTATGGAAAAAGGAATTTTACAGGCTAGTTTCGTTCTACAGGTTTCTCTGCGGCAAGGCGTTTGAGCCAGTTTTCAGCAACATATACGAGTTTTAGGTATTCTCAAAGACATGTAAGATAGGAGTTTAGGAGATCTCCATTTCGCATTGTGCCCTTCCTCAAGATGGAACTTCGTTACATAATGCTTTTGCTTTGAACCATGGGGTTTTTACAGCATTGTTATTCATGGTCTGGGACGGGGTAAAAACATTATAGTCAAGAGAATGTCGGTCAATTGATAAGCACGAAAAGAACTACCATAGCGGGAAGGCACGTGATGGAAAAGGGCGATCATAGCCATTTGTTCTTTATTGTTCACCCTACAAACCAGTGCAAAACATGGAGGAGATATCATGCAGAACAACTCCCCGCGAGGTTTTTTATCTATAACAAATGTGAGAGAACAAAGGGTGATTTTCGATATGCCTGTAACGTTTTCCTCGATAGAAACACGTAACTAACCTTTCTTAAGGCCGGAAAATGTATTTTTTTAAATATTCCTAAATTTAGTGTGGCACGAAAAAAGGTGCTTGGGATGATATATCACTTGCTGCACAACGATGTAGATGTTTTATCAATATATGCGGAAATATTATGCTGAAAAGGGCTACCACCATTCCAACTTTTTTGTCAAACAAAATATATTCTTCTTAAAAAGGAAACCTAGACTCTAGAATTAAGTAATTGAACCTTCCCATGAGAAACTTAAAGTTAATGCATAGTTTTGATAGTCAAGTATCTCATACATTCATATAAATGCATTTATACATGCATACTCATTTATAGTGTTTCTTCAGGGCATATATGTGTGACCCTTCTGTCCTGTGTCCCCCACAGCTTGTACGATTTATTTTAGTACATGTATGCAATCTGCACAGCATTTAGAACTAAAGAAAATATATTGAAATGTTCAAAATCTTGTCTACTTGTTCTTATTTATTTCGATAGGATTATGTGATGTTGATAAGCTAAAGATTTTTCATGTTTCACAGCAGCTTTTTAGTTAAGGCCATGGAACAGATCTTCTGTGTGCCGTCATGGACTTTGTATTTTAATGGATTTAGATGCATTCTCCCCCAATTTTCTTGCGAAGTATATTTCCACGAATATTTACTACATTTTTACTCATACCCTTTTTTCTATAGTGTTCGCCAATCAAAAGAGCGGTCAGTCTTATTGAATACGTGTCGGTCACTGCCGGCCTTATGTTCATCCGACAGGTCAGTAACTTTTCCCCAATCCACCTTTAAATAGGCACCTGTCCTTAGACACCTAGAGTACAGCTGGTTTACACCCTTGTTTTATCTTTTTTTGTATAAAAACTATAAGAGATATCGATAAAATTGATGAGTAGCAAATAACAGGAATGGCTGCTCTGTTCAGAAATAAAATGCACAATAAATTTAAGTTGGTTGTAGTCGTATTTTGAAAATTTTTCACATCGTTTTAATCTAACATACAGAGCGTCATTATGATAGTAATTTTGTGAGGCTATTGATTTTCTTTTCGTTGATGTATTTGCAGTTGTATGACACATACCCGCATCAAGACTTAGTGTAGCAAGCATCGCTATGAAAGGAACTTTTTTAATAATTGTTTATCTTGCAAGAAACTGGATGCTAGATGTCAGTTGATTCTTGCTGTGCGTGTGTGTCTCCTGAGTGTTAATCGACATAAATGCAATCTTTGTAGAGCCCTTCACCATAAAGTCTTGTGGATACATATTTCTACATGTATTTGCCTTTATTGTTTGATTTTGCCGTTGTCTTTAGGTCCTGAAGCAGCCTGGAAGCCTGTCCGCGAAGGATCGGAAAAAGCTGGCTGACATGGCAGTTGAATGCTATACGGAACAGGTAGTGGCATACCTGTTATGCCTCCTAACATTATACATCCTCTGATAAGCATATTTTACAGTGTTAAAATCAGCATTAGTTGATCCTGTATTATTTATGAAGAATACTTTGCCCTGTCCTTATCATGAAACACGCTCTTAATAAGCAAAGTTTAAAAAGCTTCATAAACATAATTGAATTGTAAACACAATCTAAATACTTACACCTTGTTCATATAGCCTCAGGTCATAATTTTGAAAAACATGTAAATTCTTTTTGAAAAATTTTGTTTGCTAATTTTTGTGAAATTGCTCTAAAGCTGGATTCATTTTTCTCTGTATACTGGAGGTAAAGATATGCCATCCACATTTGCTTCTATCAGCATTTTGATTGGTTCAATTTAGTATGACCAGACCTGTAGGTTTGACCTACAAAAGTTCAAATTAGTATGACCAGACCGGGCCTACTAAAGTTCCAATTATTATGAACAGACCAGATCCTTACAGGTTCCCATTGTTAACACAAGACCGGGCCTACTTGAGTTCCAATTAGTATGAACAGACCAGATCCTTACAGGTTCCAATTGTTATCACAAGACCGGGCCTACTTAAGTTCCAATTAGTATGAACCGACTGGATTTTCACTGGTTCCAGTTGTTATCACAAGACCGGGCCTATAGACCCTGAAACGTTCCATTTTTAGACTACATACAGCTGTTTTACCATAGCATCTGCATTTTTTCAGGTTCTAGAGAAACAGAAGCCTGTGAACTTTCGAGCGAAGGTTTTTGAATCATTTATGTAAGATATCTATAAATCTGTATTTCATTTAAATGTTGAAGTATTTTGTTTCGAATTCCCTTTTTTGACTGAGACTTGGATAGAGTGTGTCACAACCCAATCTCGATTTTCCCTTTTTCCCGAATTTTTAATTTCGAAATAAAAGAGTTACATCTTTATCGTTAACGTAACCAAAAGTCTGAATTTCGAACTTCTGTTTTAGAAGTATTCGTTAGCTGATATAAGGGGAATTTTATTTTCCTTCCAGGCAGTTCTTACGGGACAATTTTGACTACGACCCCCAAGTGGCAATGGAACGTCTCGCAAAGCATGGAATGATTGATTGCTTGTTTGAAGTCGGAAAAGTAAGAGAACTCGTATAACACACTAATTAGCGACTTATCAGTGAAGGTTTTTACCTGTTGAAATATGTGAAGTTTTTCATTTTCGCCAGTTATCAAAAATAACTTTCAAGTTCTTACAACATTTAAAACACATTTACTGTATTAAGTTACTCCTTTTACACGATTTAGATAGGATTTTGTAGTCTTTTCTGAGGAACCATAAGGGTTTTCTAGTCAAAGTTATTGTCACCTGATTCCTATTGATCCTTTTAAAAGCTATAGTTAAGTGGGTTTCTGTCCTTAAAACCGTCCTTAGCAGAAAACACATGCTTTTGCTTCCCAAAGCTGGAAGTTCCTCGCGCCTTTAACCCATTTCAACACACAGCAAAATTTATTACAATCTTTATCTACAATTTTTCATTCACGACGGGGGTTTTATCAGGTTAACTAAAAACGACATTCTTATTGCATTTTCAGCTATATGTGCAATGATATTTCGTACCTTAATGCAAAAGCTACTCTTCAAAGTTGTTCCATGATTGCTTTTTTGTCTGTCTGCCCTAGATGTAAACACCTCCGGCAATACTTAAAGCTGAGGATAGGAGTTGAGGATTAATTTAAGATCGTATCTTCTTCTAAAATAGTCAGTTTTATTTAATTGTTTTTTAATCATCCCTTTCTGGATACAAGGCAACAGTTAGATTTGGCAATTGGCGTCACTTTATGTCATAGTCATTGGTCATTTTGCTGGAGGCCTCGTTGGTATACTGATTTCCGAGTCGAAATCTGTTTCTAAAATTTCTTTATACAGGGAAATGCCAGAATAAAGGGTTGATCGTTGACTCGCGATTTCCATAGTAGCACTGGTAAACTGTACTTGTCGAAAAGTTCACAATGGAGTGTGTCAACCTTGCATTTTTTCATGATTGTGCCACAAATTAACAAGAAACTTGGTATATATTTCTAGGTACTTTATTCCTGCAAATGCATCATAAACATTTCCTCTGCACGTCACTGTCAGAGAAAGTAGTCGAGCGAATTATCAGCCTAACAATGAAAGCTTGTGCATTCTGAGCGAGTGGCCTAAATGTGGAATTCTTTGCTATGTTTCAGACTAAAGGACTGATCAAGGAAGCTTTAGATTTGTGTGCTTCAAGAGGATTTTATCACCTTTCACCTTCAATCCAAAACATGCTGTTGGATCGAGGATACGATGACATTTTGTGCACGGCTAATAACGGTGCCTTCATTTCCTACATGAAGCCAGAGGAGGCTGTTAAGTTCTTGCTTATGCACGTGAGTTTTTTCTCATCAGATGTTCTCAAACACACTGACTGTCCTCAGAGAGTCTCTTTCGTGTGAATCTCTAAAAGATGTAATTTTCTCGTATTCTTTAAGACAGGACATGTTTGTTTGATCTTCAGTTTGTGTATGAAAGTTTGAAAGAGGAAATAGAAGCTTTTGTCTTTATTGACCAAAGTCGTACCAATGTTATTTTAGGTATTTGCCAGAATTTGTTATGGAAGATATGTTAATTTTGAAAGCCTTAAGTCACTGAATTACTTGGAAAATGTATCAAAGAACATTAATTCCTTTAATCATAGATCTAGTTAATGCCTCCCTTGGCAATTTTTTCCGAACGTTATTGACATCAGTAGGCTTGGACGTTTGCTGTACGTAAATTAATAAACAACTGGAGAACGTAAAGGAGCGGAATACTAACAATATTTGTTCTTTTTTATGAAATATTAATGCCAGTGGTGCCCTTCTTTGGACGCCGTAGGAAGCACCGAACATTCCTTCTCCTTGTTCTTACAGCCTGATGTGACGAAATCATTTATTCGCCTTTTGGATTCGATTGTTTTCCATCTAGAAGAAACCTCTTTATTGCTAATTGCGCGATTGTTTGATCCATCTCGAACATTTATTAAACCATACTTGGAGAAAGCAGAAGCGATGCACACCAAAAGGTAAAACTGCACATTCCCTACAAGTCTTTTTCGCATTTGTTCTCTCGACTCTCGAACATAAATGAGTATCTTAATGAATTGTGCCGTCTTTTTCATCTTTGAGAGACATTTAAGAGCCGATGCTTCGTATATACTTTGTTCAATGTAAACTCAAACTCCAACTTGTCCTTTGGAAGGCATTCATTCCATGTTGCATACCTATACCAGGCACTGCTTGCAATGCTTTAACTTGTCTTCGTGTACCATGTCTCCAGAAATGAATGTATCAGTAACGCATATATATTGCTGTTTCGATTTCGTTTACCCCCAATCTTTTGTCATTTTTACTGCTCCAACGTTTTCTTAAGACTCTTTTTTCCTAATCAGAAGCTCAAAAGATTTTTTTTCGTAGAAGTCCTTCGATCGTTTCCTTGGCATCAACTTCAAGCTCGGAGGGTGGTTTGGTATGTGGGCCGGTGCTTAATTCGCCTTTAACCTCAACCTATCAGGCTGTTTCGGTTTATAGATGCATACACTGCCAGCATTAAAAAGATTGAAGATAGCTCAATTGGAATTCTGGCCAAGCTAATTCACAATTTTTCTATCAATAAACAGAAAGAAACACGTGGATTTTTCGCTACATTCTTTGTAATTTTGAATTGTAAGAGTGGATTTTTCATTTTTTAGGATTCGTTTGACATTCCCACCATTTCTACCATATTTGAAGTTTTTTTGAAAACCATTTTGATTTTGAATGGCAAGCGATCGCCATTAACTCAACTACCAGACAGGTATTATTAATTTATTAACTTTTTTGTGACTTTATTTATAAATCATTATGGCGTTATTTGTAAATACTTGTAAATGAAGCACGTAACTAAGTGCTTTAATGCTATATTACAACACGATATTGTTCTTGGGCCATTTCCAGTACCCAATGTTCCATTAAAAATTGCTGATATTTCTTCTGATTGTCTTCATCTTTAATTTTGTTTTTGCTGGGTAGACGTTACTGCGTACGCAGTTTTTTCCAGATGTAGTTGGTTTTAATTTCATCAATTGCTTTTTCTTGAGAGGTTCTTTTATAACGTAAAATTGGGAAGTTTTCTCGATATTTACTCTTACTTGCCTGCGTATAACTGTTTCTTGTTCATTGAACATTTATTGCTTTTTCCGTAAATAACATGCTCTTTTATTAGATTGCCCAAACTTTTAGAGGAGATGTATTCCGGTGTTGAGTGATATGAGGCTATCTTTGCAGAAGAAAAATACATGAGATCAGTTTCATACTCTTTATTCAATACTTATCCACGTTCGTCTTTATGGGCTTTATGACAAAATAAGGATTACAGAAAATAAGGATAAGTCATAAGAATTTGATGATTTTTGCAAACGCCCGCGTTGATGTATTCGAGGCTGACAAAGTTTGTAATCGGCGAGGAAGCTCACAGAAGGCAAAGTTTCCTAATAATGCCAAAAGGTAACCACCCTCATCCTAAAAGATTGCAGTTAACCAATTTGCTGTTCATTGCAGCGAGACGTAGAGAAGGTACCATCAAATAGTTTGTCGTCACCTTCCTTTAAACAAGGTTAACCTATCCATCCGCAACGGTTGTATTCGCAATAGAGAATGTTTGCATATCCAGGGCCGCACAAAAAACAGATAGCAAACAACAGAACAAGTGAACAGTTTTTTTGGGGTACAGAACTTGAAAATGGCTTTGAAAAAGGCAAACATTTTACAACATATTAACTAAAAGCTTTTTCGTCTGACACTTCTCAGAGCATAAACGACAGAACGAAGGTCCGAAAGATCACGATGAAAAATATATAACCAGTTGTGGATTGAAGTAGGCCAGTCAGAAAAACGCAAGCACAAGAACGGTATAGTTGACCAATCAGTGCTGCGTGCCTATTGAAAAATTACCACTGGAGTCCAAGAGAGAAAACGAGCTCCTTCTGTCTACACAATGGCGGCTTTTTTGTTTGTATGTAGATCGATTCCAAAACTGCTCGATGGAAAGACGACCGGGCTCTGCCAATCATCCGAAACATGTCGTCATTATGGAGTTTAGCACAATCTGGGTTGTCTAAAAGATGTTGACCGATGGCAGAATCACTTGTTTTAACAGTGTTTCTAGACCTACAAGATCGAGGAGGATGTTCACTTTGAGGGGCAGTTCTGTTTCTTATGTTGGATAGAACATGCTGTTTTATCCTATCCCCCAATCTTTGGGTTGTGCGTCCTACGTAGCCAGAATCACACTGGCACGTAAATTCATAAATGACGGAACATTTTTGGTTGGTAGGAATGCAATCCTTTTGAATGGATGGAAGGGCTCTCCTAGTGCTGTAAAAAAATACAAGGATTGACAGCAAAGAAACATTTTGTAATGGCTTGCCTAATCTGTCTCTCAAACATTTTCTAAGTTTTCTAAGTTGCTTGACCAATGTAAAGAAGCGCATAAAGCAACAACTGTTTCTACTGTTTTGACAAGATGTACCAAACAATGCTGCCATGACATTGCATCTTTGCTCTGAACGGCAGAATAGAACCAAAAAAGAAACTGGCTACTTTAATGCCTCTATGTTTTTGGCTTTGTTAAGAACATTGTTCATCGCTGTTTTTTTACAAAGGAATAAAAAGACTGAAAAACAATCTGTCCTGGTGCATTTTTGCAATTTTTCATGGATTCTGCACTTTACGTGCAAATTACTGCTGATTTAACAAGCAAATAGACATTTCCCTATTTTTCAAAATCTTTACAGATCTAGTTTTGAAAATGTTTGTTGTGAAAAACTTTGTTGTTGGTTGTTTTGATATTGGTTTATCCTACTGCAGCTGCTGTTATGATTTCCCTGTTGTTTTTCAAGGAAGTCGATTCTTAAGTACCTCATTGGTCAGAACAGCTCTACATCTTTAAGACGCAGTCGAACGGTGCGTTAGCCTCATTTCTAAAGATTCTTCAGTTTATCATAAACTAATCTTTCGAATGAATGAACATATGCTCATGTTCTATGTTGGCTAAAAAAATTACAACTTTCACCTACTTTATCTTAAAAAAATAGAATCGAGATCCAACCCACCTTCGTGCCTTTTTGTTGATCATAAACATAAATTTCAATTCTTAACAGACCAGTACGAGGAGCCTGGACACGAACATGGATATTGAGCCTACTACCCTGGCATGTGGCAGAAATCACATTGCCTACGTATCTCATGACGGCGATGTTTTCACCTGGGGACGATCAAGCCATGGAAGGTCATTTATTCTTCCATGTGGAACGCCTTTTTCAAATGCTTTACTTAAATAATACCTTCTCTGATATTCTCTGATAACTGTAAGCCTTACCAAATCTCTTTTCATTATTTATTCACAGCATGTTATTAACTGTAAATTAATCTGTGATTGCTGCTAAACAGCGTTTAAGAATATTTTTAAATGTGTGTTGTAAACAATTTCGTCTCTGTAAATAGAAGATTTTTCAATTTTAGACTGGGCCATGGAGATTTGATAGAAGAAAAGGGAATTTCGATGCCGTTTAGAGTGGAAGGGCTTCATATGCATGGGTAGGACCGCAATGGAGTTCACGGCTTGCTCTTATCTCTTTTATTCTGTTTAAAAATACTTTTGATTCGGTCAGCAATGACAAGTCAATCACCATGTCAATAACGCAGTAATATCCTGAACAGATATGTATGATATAAGGTATCGAGTAAAGCAAACTACTGCTGTGATCAGTTGAAAAGGGGGGCTCCCAAATTGGCGTAAAAATGTATTGAATCAGTGAGAAATTTATTTAAAATAATCAATTTAGTTGCTTTGTAAACCAGATCAGCATACAACATATTTGCAAGAGCTTACTGCAGAATAATCGTTGCCATTGGAAAGGATATTGTCTAAGGCAGTCAAATGCTCAATAGACCAACTCGACTCACGGCCTCGTTTTGAAAAAAAATCTTCAAATTCTTTTGTACAAGATTTTTAACCTCAGATTCGGATTAAGAGCAATGATTTTAGTCTACTTGGAAATTTTTATTATGGTATTGCTCACGATATTGATTTTATGACGACATAAAGATAAAAAATTTATAAGAGATTTGACCGTGATTGGCGTCTAGCGGGGTAAAGTTTCACCCGGAATTATTTTTGCGGTCAAATCCCTTGCAAGTTTTCAAACTTCATTTCTCCATAAAATCTAAATTACAAGCACCAACAAAATGAAAAATTGTATCCAGCCTAAATCTATTGTGATTAAACCAAATCTGAGCTTAAAAAAGTCGTATAATTAAATTTGGAGAAATTTCCAAAACGTGGCCGTAAGTCGAATTGGTCTATAGGCTAAACTTTTATTGTAGTTGTCTGTGCGGCTAGTTTGTGACACTGAAAATATTGTTTTTTTTAACTGTGTGCGCAGCCAGAAAATTTTCAAACCTCTACCAAGGCGTCGCATAATATTTAAATATAGAGATGAGAGAATGAGACACGGTGTTGTGACGTAGATCTTGACATTTCCTTTTGCAAATTATCTTATTTATTGTTTTCAAATGACTTTTCTTCCTTCTCTCTGGCAGGATTCAAGTCCTTTCAATAGCCTGCGGGGCTGCACACACAGTTGCGGTTTGCAGAGAAGGGGTTAGTCTCACTAACGCTTCCTTAGCTCTAGTGATTTTATCAATTAGACACGTGGAATTCTTTTATGAAGTCTTTAATTTAATTACGCTTTTTCAGTTACAATTCTCAGTGGCAGTAGAATGTAAGGCGACCCTGACCAAAATACGAGTTTTCTATTTTGCTTTTTTGCCATTTATCACTCAAAGCTCCCTAATGATCGCTTAAAGCCTTTGCTGTGCGAGATTCATCCTCGTATTTTCCGTCTTCGCATGTCCTTTGCCCTTCTTTCTCTGTTTTGTCTGACGCTGATGTTCTTCTACACTTCCTTCATATCTACTGATCTTAATTTTCAGGTTTATTCATGGGGATTTAACAATTTTGGACAGGTGAGTTCGCCAATAAAAGTTAATTCGAATACTTTTCCGTAGCCTGTTTTTTTCTGCGCAGAAAATAGAAGGTTTCACGTGCACTATCGTTGTTTAAGTATTTAACCGAAATTTAATAGGTGCCTTCAAAAACTTGTTATAGTAACCTTAATATGCTATAGTAGGCTTAAAAAACTTGTATAGGATCCTTACTATGCTATAGTAGGCTTCAAAAGCTTGCTATAGTAGATTGGGGGAATTTTATTTCCTGAACAGAAATGTGCAGTTTCTTGTATCGAGAAGGCCATGTTTACACATCCAAAATTAAAACATTGCAATGATACTGAAAGTGATTTACTGAATTAATGCAAATAAAAGAAAAATAATAAAAATATACGTGAAAAAGTTAGCAATTAGATGAAACAAAATCGGTATCTTAACGATTTATTATGTTTTTTAGTTCCTGCACTGTTAAAAAGTTATAGAAACAATTATAAGTGAGGGCCTTCAGCCTCTTATTCCCCTCCAGTGACGCCGTGCTTGTCATGAAAATAATTTACAACTTAAATTAATTTGCATGGACTCAACCTTGCCCTCATAAACATATGCATCAATCATTGCATCCATTGGCTATGACTTTCGGTAAGAAATGCTTTCGCATTGCAAATAACGGAGCTTTTCCTTACATACCTGTTCCGTTCTCTAAAATGCATAACGGAGCATTTCCTTACATACCTGTTTCGTTCTCTAAAATGCATAACGGAGCTTTTCCTTACATACCTGTTCCGTTCTTGGCGCCCTGCAAAATCTTCGATTGCCCTGCGAAATCGACTATTTTTTGGATTGGGGGGGGGGGTGTTACACCCCCCCCACACCCTCCCCCCCCTTCCCCGGTAGTTTCGCCCCTGGTAGCAGGCTTCAAAAATTTGCTATAGTAGCCTTAATATGCTATAGTAGGCTTCAAAAACTTGTATAGGATCCTTACTATGCTATAGTAGGCTTCAAAAGCTTGCTATAGTAGCCTTAATATGCTGTAGAAGATCTGTCGGAAATATCTGCTTAATTTTAACTGCTCCAATGAATGGTAAACAGATGATTCGCAGTCTAGGCTGCAAAAAAATCGCTTGAACTTCGGCTATAAACTGAGTCGCGTACTTTGAACAAGCTTTCGGGTGTCATCAGCTGTTTTCTTTATTAGTTTTTTACGAAATTGTGGTCTTGTAGGCAGAATAAAAAGAGACGTTAAATGTACTTCGTTTATTATCTGGCCAACATTTCTGTGTCTATTTCCTGACATGCAATTCAATCACATATACTAAATACCAGTGAAAGCTACGAATCATACACAATTGTAAATTTTAAGCGACCATGGGAAATCACATAGTGAGAGTTTTGCCTTTGATCAAAAGTATAGGACTCACGAACACTAGCTGGACCTTGATAGATACTTCTCATGGCAGCTCATTCATACTGTCATTAGTCACGCATTTTATCTTTTGAGAATTTATTTAGAGAAGCGGAAAAGCTGCAGATCGTTTAGCAAAGAGGAGAAGGAAGCAAATGAGGACGAAAAGAACGATAAGGAAATTGTCAGGCAAAACTAAATATATGATGATTAATTGCTTCAACTGATTGTCAGCCTTTATTGCAAAATGACACAGATTGTTGACAACACTGTTCTTTATGTTGCTAACGAAGTGATTTAACAACACTATTGCAAAGTCGAAGTGGTTGCCATTTTAATGCCACCAATTTTCGGCAAGGAAGAAACCCCTAAGAATGATACCGGTCTGTTGCTACTCAATATCAAGGAAATTAATCTGCAATATTAATTCGCAGGCTCAAGATTGTAAGGTGCCATTGGTGTGATCTCGCGTTTATTCATTGTTTCTTGACTAAAAACATCAAGCAACAAAAACCTTAGGTTGTCTCGTGTTGACTATTATGATATTTCCGTTTCTCGCCAGGATGAGAAGATGGGTCTTTTATTTCAAAACGTGACAGCCTTTCGTCCATTTCCAATTCACATTAAATACAAACCCCTATTTGTGTCACCGATGGAACTGAGCTGACAATTTATCATTTGTTAAAATCATTGGTCAGGAACTTTTATTTTCATTAAAATCATTCTTCAGGAACTCCCGCTTCTTCGCTGCTCCCCTTTTTTGCCTCTTCGCTTCCTCCTTTTTCCAACTCCTCTGTACCATTTGCACGCCAGTTCTTAATGGCTATTATACCCAGGGTGGATCGTTCACAGCTCTACAAAACCAGGTTTTTATATTTTTGCAAGCTTGGTGATCTAATCAAAAAGCTTTTCAGTTTCAAACTACATTCCATCAAGGTTGTCATTCAATAAATATACCTGTTACTCATTACCTTTAGCTTGGCGTTGGCGACATACGTCGACGAAGCCGCCCATGCTTAATATCACAATTGACTCCCAAGAATGTTGTTGCTGTTGCTGCTGGGTATTATCATACGCTTGCTGTCGATGGAGATCACAAAGTCTGGGCATGGGGCTGGGGTATTCATGGACAGCTTGGTGTAAAGTCAGCTGAAAATGCGAAAGTCCCCGTTAACGTTGCACTGCTTAATTCACAAAAGGCGATTCAAGTTGCCGCTGGACATTCCCACAGTGTCGTCCTTTCGTCCAAGGTTTTCAGTTTTTTAATTTTTGTGAATCTTGAAATAAATCTCGAATGTAATCTGCTCTGTTGATTATATTAATCATTTAGCCAACAGCCTCAAAGATAGTCGATAGTAGCCGATAGATACTAACTTGACTGAAGCCATTCATCAATCAATGATGAATTGATTGGTATACCATCAATTCGTAGCCATTGATAGGTAGCCATTCGTAGCCATCAATCAATGGCTAATTGATGAGCGTGTGATTGTTATCACGTATCCTGAGTTGTTTGCTGACAGATGGCTTAAGCCACTTTTGTATCACATCTGATGACATCTGATTAGCAGTCAGATTTTTTAGCTTCGTATTTTTTTTCAAAATTCCCCTTTTTACAATTCCAAAGTTTCCCTGATTTTTGGCACTTCATGTGTGTGTTATTGTTTCCACATTCTTGAATATTCGTTATTTTTTCGGTTTGTTTTTCTGCATTCTCCCTTCTAAAGGATTAATGTTCTGTTTTGCATATGAAAGAAGTAAATACTTAAGCTGTAAATACATTTCGTAATACCAATCGCTTTATTTTAGGGATACGTTTTCACTTTTGGTTCAGGTAGGTACTGTGGACTTTCTATCTTGGAGATATATCATTTCTATTCAATTAATTCTTTTTCTGTTGGATACATAACCAGTAGCTCAATACTATTCAAAGTTCTAAAGACATTTTTTAGCAGTCTTTAGTGTTTAGCAACTCTAAGATTCATCAACTGTTGAACTTGAATACTTTTGAACTATTTTCAGTAACAATTGCAGGTCCATTTTCTGTTTGACTTTGGTTATTTGTGGATATCCAATGAATGTTCCTTCGAGAGTGCTACGATGCTTTTTCCTTCAGGCTTGTACGGCCAGCTCGGCATTGGTGTCAATACCAAAATGACAACTCCCAAAGTGGTGAAAACGCTTATTGATGAGCCTATCTATTACATTGCATGTGGTTCTTTTGAAACTGTAAGCACTTGAATTCTGATACAAATTAGCAAGCTATTGTAGATTATTATGAATAACAGCATGTTTTATAGCCATTTTCTCCAATGAATTCGAAAATATTTTTGCTGCTCCAGATGTCAGATTCTCAGGCTTCAAATTTTTAAATTAGGTCGCCTTTATCTCAACTTTAAGACTTACATTGTTAAATGTTAGAATGGCAAATATATTACCCTAAGTTCAGCCTGATTCATTGGTTTTTATTTTCCATAATATTTTGCCATCTGCCTCACAATTTTTGACCAACAACAATCTATATTGTTTTGCATACATTTGTTCAGATTGGCTATATGTTAGAGATCGAGATTCTGTCATGGGTTTTTTCGTTCTTTTAGATAGCTATATCAGAAGACCAGACGCTCTATTCATGGGGTAGAAACTACAAACAGTTCCATATATGTGCTGTACGTTTAGCATGAATGGTTATTGGATAAATTGTTTAGTTTGAACTTTGAAATTGAAGATTAGCTTGAACTGATATTGTGTAAAAAAATTTCTTGCATTTTTCAAAACGTTCTAAGCTGCAAATAATTTACATTTCTGTCTTCTTTTATTCAGAAGAAATTTCCCAAGTTTGAAAGATTTAGTGCTGGGCACAGCCCTTGTGGGTTAATTGATTCTGTCTGCTGGAAAGTGTGATATTAACGCTGAGTTCGGGCAGCGTAGCGAAATCGGGTGGCTCATGATCCTGAAGCGGTTTTTTGAATGCAAAATAGACTCAGTTACTATACTCAAATTATGTCTTTGTTTCATCATGTTTCGAGAAAGTTGTTTCAAAGTTCGAATCATTGGCTGGAAGAATGCTAAAATGTTTTCTGGGATTCAATTGGGCTTCTTTTTTTTATTCCTGATAAGCATTTTGTAGATTGTGTAGCCATGTACTATATAAAAGCTTGTCTTTTGGTGGCAGAAAGCGGAAAGTGCAACGAGTGGGCGCCATCTTGCTAGCTCCATGGCAACAGACTTGAGTCATAAGTATTATCCAGAAGAGTTGCCTTTTCGCCTTCCAGAGCAGATAGCACAGGTACTTTCTCGATTAAAATTTTTAAACAGCCTTGACGTACCGCATGATTTCAGGAAAGAAGAGAAAACATGAAAAATGCTTTATTTTCCTTGGTGCAAAAAAATAACCTGTTTTTCGGCAAACAAAAGATGTAGGTTATAACTTTTGTTGAATTTTAGACGTTGAGGAGAACAATTACATTTTAGTAGCATATGTGGCGAGTAATTTCCGTAAACTATGATTTATGATCAAATCTAATTGTTTAAAGAATAGATTTTCTTTTTGTCAGCTCCTTTTCATCTAAGTTTCTTGACCCTTTTATTTCACTATGGAGGCTTGACCAATGTTTCGTTGCATGATTTCGTTGTATCTTCATGGTATTTGATGGGTGACTTCATAATATCGTTTTAGCTGTCAGTTGGTAACTGGCATTTTGTTGCTCTTACCACCGTTGGGCAAGTGTATACTTGGGGATGCAATGACTGCGGCCAGCTAGGGCACTACAACAAGATTGATCAGGTGACCATGCAACTTTTTTATGATTCATGGCAATTTCTTAGAATTGGATGGTGCTGTGTAATCTCTTGTGCTGGTACCGTTTTATATCAATTTATGTCAGATACTAGCCTTGTAACTCGTTTTTAACACAACATTTCAAGACTGTTAACAATTTATTGATATGAATTATTATGGCAGTAAATACGTAGGCATTAGCAATGCAAATGAAGTTACGGTGCCATTATTGCTTTGTTTTGCCTTTTTCAGGTATTGCAAGACCCCCTTGTTGATTATAAACTTTACATTGCTGCAAATGCCCCTTGCCTTTTGATTTCTGTGTCTTTCTCTCTAAATCCTCTTTTTGAATTAAGATCACTCCTCGCCCGGTCAAAGCGCTGTCAAGAAGGTTTATCACGTCAGTTGCTGCTGGCTCGGAATTTACCGTTTGCGTTGATGCTGAAGATCAGGTGTTTGCCTGGGGCAAAGCTGATGCTGGTCAGGTATTTCAATATCGGCATCGGTTCTCGCTTCAACCACTGCCTATCGTACACGTTGGCTTTGCAGCAAATTATATTTTGGAATTAATGCTAGATTTCGCTACTTTTTAAAAAGCATAATAACGATGATATGTAAGTAAATTGTACCAGGAAAATTTTTTTAAATGAATAACGACGTTTTGAGCATAGCCCGTTGACTTGAAAACGGGCTATTCTGGAAACGTCGTTATTTATTTAAAAAAAATTTCCTGGTACAATTTACTTACATTGATTGTTATTATAGCATTATATTGTACCGCACGCAATCTAGTATATTTTAAAAAGCAGTGTGAATTCCATTTGTATCAACATTTTCTGCTTGTTAAGTAATAGAATTGAGTTAAATAATGTCCAAAAATAGTCATGATACATTATAACTCTGACCAATTATTGATACGTGCACTCACAGCTAAAACCTAAGGACTGCCAAATGTGCAGCTCCATCCATTGTCAAGCGCTCTAAAATATCAATAGTTGAGCGAGCGTTTGAAAGTTTCTTCAGTGATATTGTTCACCATTTTCTACAGTTTTTCTGCAACTGCATCCTCCAATATGCTTTTCAATTTTGTCAATCTTATCTTTAGCTTGGCATTGACACGACCGGCATTAAAGATTCTGGAACCGGAGCTATGAAAAAGTCCGGAGCATCTGCTTCCCTGCTGAGCCCGACACCGGTTCCTAGGATGCCTTCTGTAACCGAAAGGAGCAACTCGGTTGGTTCTGGTGGAGTAAGATATTTAGTTTGTATTTTCGTAGTTATTTGCTCTACATTAAGTTATTTCTTCTGTGGCAAATAAGATTGTTGATGCATATGAATGGCCAGTATATTTTATTATGTTTGCATTAACTTCCTTTTAGAAATAAACCTAGTCAAAACTCAAACAGAAATTATTCAATCACCGCCGATTTTTAGAGATAATGTTTAAAGCAATGAAACTCTGTATGTCAGCCATATTTCGTTCTTTTTACATCTTGCAGGCAGTGAGCAATAAAAGAGAAGTTACATTCGATATTGATGCAGATTTTCCTGACTTCTCATCCATCGGTAATGAGTTAGATGACAGGGTATTTTTGCTTGGTGTATAGATGGTTCCAGGTTGCAACTCAGGGGTTTTATGCATAAGATGCTTAATTAATTCTAGTTGTCAAGAGAATTATTAAGATGCCTTGATATAACTGGAACGAATTTTTCTTAAAAAAGCCTCGTTTCGTTTCAGTTTCAATTCTAAAAAGATGAAATTTAAAAGTTTTTCGTTTCATGGAATGTTGCTTTATTATGCTACTTTTCGAACTTGCTTTACTGGCAAAATAAGCTACAACATATAACCTTTTATTGCGGCACATAATGTATTTTGAGTTTTCATATGACTTTTTCGCACATTATTTTCATTTTCGGTATTTGAATTTTAGGCCATGGTGTGTTGGCCTATTCCCCAGAGAGTGTTTTGGTGGCCCTTCAGAAATTGAATGGCTCCTATAATCCGTGGACCATCGTAAGGTATAATGTTGACCCCCTCTTTCCGCAATCCTGTCTAATGCACAATAATCTATAAAATAGCAGTGACTATTCTTGTTAGTTTCATGTCAATGTATTTTTTCTGCCTTTAATCATTCCTACATTATCTGTCAAAAGGCTGTATCTCGATTTTTACTTACGTTTGCAGTTTAAATGGACTGAAAAAAATGCTTATTTTCTAACCTCTCCTTCTCGAGTTTAATCTCGTCATCTCCTGTTTACTTAACTCTATGAATCTAAGGTATCATGGGCTTGCTATTCTAGTATTGGTGAACAACTAAAGCTATTCTATGCTGTTTCATTTTGCTGCGAAATGCATCAACGTTGGGACAAAGTAAGTGTTCCTAAGATTTGTTTTTTGCTCTTACAGTATTTTCTTTAAATAAAAAGTTTCCCTGAAATCTTTTACCTTTTGGGTAGAAAAGAATTTTTTTGACACAGCGTTAAGAATGTGACTTTATCTTCATTAATTAATCATCTGAGCTTTGCGCCAAAGTCTCTTCTTTCTGTGTAGGTTTCCATTTGATTTCTTAACATGGAGGATTGTATGGTAAAAATTGTCTAGTAAGATTGTGTGAAAACTTTGCGTAAATACTGCTCAACTTCTGCAAAAAGAACTTCTGCAAAAAGACAGCATACAATTTAATAATTCCAAATGACAATCACAAGGACTGCGATTTCCTTCCATTCTGCTGCATATTATAATGCCTATGCACTTTTGCGCACTAATTTGAATACATGTCTGCATTTTCCCGCTGTCAGGATGTTTCAAAGCATAGTTATTGAAACATCATATAGTTTAATGGCGGAAAGAGGATGAGAGGTAGTTGACTGTTTAATTCGATCCTGTTTATATTTTATAACGTAAGCATTTCTGATAACTCTCAAACCAAAGCTTCAAGCTTTCAATTTTCTGAACTTTTGATGAAGTATTAGACAAAAACAAGCCTAATGAACTTGAAAGCTCTTTTCAATTGCTAAGCATCTGCCATTGATGCGGATGCATTTGTAAGACATGATGCCTGGGCTTTTGGACTCACCTTTACCGATACGCTAGCGGCAATTCTGGTAACGATGAGCAAATATGAAATACTTAATTTTATTGCATTGCAAATCGTTTGTTGAAAAGATTCTATTTCGGTATCGAAAGGTCCTGTTTAGTGATTGCAGCATTAATTGCGATTTCCATATGATTGCGTACAGATTGATTCATCTAGTGCCATCTGTAGAATATTCTTCAAGAATGTCTTTAGCTTTTTTATCTTTTAACAGCAGTTGAAAAGTCACCTCAACTTTCTTTTTAGTTCCTTTAGAACCAATTAAATATATTTCTGAATATTATTCTCAAACTACAACTACTATCCGTATGGTAGTCCTTTTATTCATGACAAGAATGTCATAGGACCTCTGTTGATAATTGCCTTTCCGTCTCTGGCAAAAGATTTTCTTTTTTTTTACTCTCTGGTATACTCTTCATTTTCAGTACGCCTTGCCCTTTCAGCATCTACTGCATGCTTAAAACTATCAAGAAGAGAACAATAAGCCATCAGCTTGTCGTAGATTTTGATAATTCGGTTTGACTAATTTTGACTTTAAAAAATTGCCTGTATGATGAGTGGCTCGTTGGCCGAGCCATAAAAACTTATCCATGTTTTTTGTAGGCATTCACATATGGCATTGCTGCTTTGAAATGCATTCAAAATGGCAAGGGTGCTACTGATTTCAATTTTGGTGAAAAGATTATCGTCTTAGCAGAGAGCATCTTGAGGTACTATTATGTTTGAGATTTTATGTTCAGTTAAAGGTAATGTGTCCAGCTAAAGCAAGCAACTCTGCGGGGGTTTTTAGAAACATGTGATTTTTTATGTCATCGCCCCAGCCATTACGGTCGTTTTGTTTATCTATACTGCTGCGAGGTCAGCTTTTCATGTGAGCAGTTTTGCATCGCAAGAATACTAACCAATCGCAAACCGCTATTTTGGTGGGTGGCTTGACAGGTTGGGTATACGCAGTCCTTTTATATGGACATATTACCTTTAAGATTTTTAGTGTGCTGTTATTTGCATTTGTAGATCACGTCTTCTGTAATTAAAGTCACCTGCAAAATGTCACCTGCAAAACATTCTCACTGCATTCTAGGTCAAATAATGCATGGCATTGATACATAGATATTTCTTTCTTGGTTTCATCAACCATAATGCTACATGTTAATTTATACATCACTTCTAACTGTGGGTGCTTAAAAGCTAATGATATGGAAATCTTTCAAATGCTTTTAGTCGAAATCTTCAAAAGGTTAGTTTGTCCGATCTTTAGATTCGCTGCTTATCACAAACGAATGAAACAGTCTTTAGATAGGCCGGTTTCCTTTTTGCGCGAAAGCTTCAGCGAATTCATCAGCGATTTCCGGGTGTGGGCGAATTCGCCAGCGAAATTTTGAAAGTTGAAAGGAGATCAACTTCTCAGCAAAACACAGCTTCCCTCTGAACGGAAACACGCTCGGCGAATTCGCTGACATCATTTTTATTTCCCAGCATTTTCTGGCATTTGCTCCATGTCTCGTAGTTTGAATTCAGCACATCAAAATCTATATGTTTCAATTGAAAACTTTTAGCCATGCGATTTGTGCAGCGAAATTCTTATAAAGCCACGATAGCAGTTCACAGGAAACGTCAGGCTTCAGTCCAAAAAATGACATTTGTGTAAAAAGGGTTTGTGAGCAATAAGTTTCATGTTTTTCTGTTCTAATCTACGTTCAGTTCAAAACATTCCTTTTTGGTCGTCACATGGACCTTCATTTTTGCAGTGCGACTGACTGCAACCATGTGGGTATATGATGCAACCCTTTGCTTTTCACTTATTTTTAGTTACTATAACGCATAATTTTCTGGCTTTTCAAAAATATTTGGGTATCAAAATGTGAAATTCGTTTATTTTGGAGCACCTCAAGACTCTTACATTGAGCTGCTATTAGTTGACCCTCGCTCCTTGCGTTACTAACATGTTTTTATGCAGACAAAGCACCTTTCTTTACACTGATGCCATCATATTTAAAGTTCTTTTTTTATAATATTTGAAATCTAGTTCCATTGAAGATCTTCACTCTGACAATGGGGATGTCACAAACGATATGTCTGCGTTGGTTTCCTTTGTCTTTGAGGTAATTTTTCGTAAATCTATTGATTATTGCCTTATAGCATTTCAAGACTGTCCATGCAGAACAAATTGGGAGCTGAAACTGTTTTCATTTTTATAAAAGCCTTTGATATTTTAACCACCTTACAGCTAAAATTGTTTGATAGGCTTGCTACATTTTGAAAGATTGTACTTCTCTTCTGTCCAATATTGTTTTGGCGACATCAGTTGCTTGACGTTGCTTTTGCAAGAGCTTTGTCCAAAGAATTTCACTGGAGGTTAGTCACGCTTTTGTAGATGATGATTTCCAATTTAAACTGGAATGAAATCCTGCAGTGTTCCATGAAAATAGTCTGTGACAACGAGTACGCGTCGGATTCGTTTTGTTGTTACCAAAATCCGTTGTTTTGCATTATCCGGTGCACTACATTCCCCGACCCCCAAGCCTTAAACTAAACCCCACCTCTTAAGAAGTCTTTCTCAGCCAACCAGCCCTTTCAACAAACCCTCTCAAACCACTCATCTTTTTTTGCAATAACTTTGCCCTAATCCCTCCTTCTTTGCCATAGCTGTTCCAAGCAAGTTGCGACTTCTTGGTGCCCTTAAAAGATATCGAGGACTGCCTGATCAAGAAGACATCCTTTCTGGCACCAGTTTTAGCAGTCGTTCTATTCAGGTAGTTTTTCATTTATTTTTTCATTCATTAGCTCTTATTGTGTCTTTTTTATCCCTTGGATGTGTTGCTGTTAAATTTGTCAGTTTACTTTTTCGATGGTGCTATTGATACATTGTCTTGCAATAAATAATGTTAAGTGAATAAGTAGTAATGATAAGTTGTCTTTCAACTTTGTCAATTTGCACAGAATGCCTCAGGATAAATTTATTGTATAATCGTTAAAGAGGCAATTGCATTATCGTATATAATAGCATGCCCATAAGTGTATGCATGTATTCTTAATCTCTCTTGACAAAGTCACAATAATGAAAGATGTCTCCAAAGTAACTACTTGCTTATATAAATCCTTTGGCTACAAAGTAACTCTTTGCTTCAGTTTAAAAATTACCCACACTTTCTTGTTCGTTTGATACCGAAGAATATATAAATGGGCTGGGCTTTACTTGTCTCTCTTTTTTAGCAAAACGTTTTTTGTTAATACTTATTTTTAAGAACATGTCCTTATATAGGGATGTACCGGATATACGGTAGGCTGGATGTTATAATTCGCAAATTTGGTCCAGGGTTGCCAGATTGTCTTTTTAGCCAAATTTTTCATTTTTGGTTTTTGGATTTAGATTGCCTTGAAAAATTGTTCTTTTGCTTACTACTTAAATTTGACCTTGTTGGCCTTTTCAGCAGACGTCCAAAATTAATGAGTAATTACTACATTCATGGAATTAGTAGTTAACTACAAAGTGTTAACCAAATTTCAAATTTTATCACCTAACCTAAATATTATCTTGAAATTAGCAAAGGGTTTTGGAAAAAAGTAAGATTCTTATCTAAGTTATGAAATTATCTAACAGGCACAAGCGTAGAAATATAACCAGTGCCTGCTCGATGGATTCTTGAGAGAGTTTTTGATTTGGCCTTTTTATGAGCATTTTGGCTTAAATTGCTCACCAGTCTAGCCTTCGTTTGTAAATTCAATCCGGCAACCCTGAATGGGTTTCTTTGATCTTCTCGCTATACATTTCTTCGCAAAGTGGGTCAAAACTTTTTATTACTCAAAAATCCATAAATGGCCAGATTATCCGGTAAAATCCGGCCGGATATTCCACGAAGAAATCCGGTAAATCCGGTTCCTACCGGATTCTGAAAATCCTGATCCGGTACACCCCTATCCTTATATTTTGCGATTTGCAAATTATGCTGGCTTTTCTTTTTTTTTCTTACAGTGGCCAAATAAATGTGGAAAGCTTGCCGTTTTCTGTTCAGCTTGTTCTTTCTTCCAAGACTCTTCCCCAGGCTTTTGAATTGCAGCTAAGTCCTAGCTTTCTCAACTCATTAACAGCATCTATTATTGATGAAATATCCCTAGGGAGCAGAAGCTACAATTTCTTGATACAACCATTTGAGAGCAGCTGCGTTGGTGACAGCTTAAGTACGCCTAATGATGAATTGACTAGCAACTCTTTGCCTGAAAATTTTGACTCAAATTTAAAGCAAATCATCGAAAACAGACTGAAACTTCAACAGCGGCGAAACTGCATCTTTCTTTCCAGCGTTACTGCAGCTACAGTTTCGGCAGCCTCATCAGGACTACGAGCCTCGTCTGCCTGGCAGAGAAAAAGTGGGACCCATGCGCATGGGGGCATCGGATACGACTCTGTTGTTTTTACCTGTAATCACAATTTTCCAAAGTATTATATAGAAGATGTTATTTTGCCAGAGTTTGTACAAAGAGTTCAAGGGCTACCGAAGCCTCTGCCAGGAACAGCCAATGTGCTTCTTCGTTATTACACGCAGACACACGCAGCTATCCCGGCTGCCTGCCCGTGCTGCGTCTACAATAACCTTCGCCTAGAGCAACTGCATTTGCTGCAAGAGACTGGAAGTGAGCTCAGCGGAAACAAATCAACTTTCTGGGAAGTCTAGGCCATAATCGCCTAACATAATATGCTGATATAATTTGATATACCTTATAAATAGAAACTGCTTTTTTCATGCTGCAGTCCCTTCCTGTTGTCAGATAATTTATCTAAATGAACTCCCGCTGAAGAGAAACTATTACTATAATTCCTTTCAAAATGCATGTACTGTCATGTTTATAGTATTTACCTCCAAAAGCAAGAGGACTTATAATGTATAAAAACACAATTGATCAATAGAAGACTTTTTATGTTACATTTTTATTGGTTTCATCTAGGCAGTCTGCCCAATATTCTAAACTTCGTTTCGGTCATCTCTTTGCTGACCGTCTATCCATTACCACAGTGTTGTAAGTTAGTGCCGGATAAATGGGGTCTTTATTGAGTAATCGCTTGGTGTATTCTCGAAGTCTTCGATTGCCGTAAACAAATATAATTGCGTTCATAACGCCGTTTGTTAACAATAGCAGGTAACACCAAACAGATAATACCTTCCAAACATCTGCAGGCTCGATATCTTGATAATATCTGTAGTAGGTGACCACCAAAGACCCGAAGTTGTATGGTAAATATAGACATAACATCGTAAGAAGTGTAAGTTTTATTGTGTTGATCGCCGCAACATCCTGCCCTTTACAATTACTTGCAAACAAAGGAGGTATCTTGCTCAATTCTGACTGGCTGCAGTTTATCTGTTCTGTAGTCCTTATATTGCCCTTCATATTTCTCGCATCCTGTTTCTCCACATCTGCTTCCGGCATTTGAATTTGCTTCAGAGACTGCTTCGTGTCTGCATGCTGTGCAGCAACAGTCCTCTTTCTTGTTGAATCCATCACGGCCATATTTGTCTTGAAAGACCGATTTGCTACAATCACTTTTTTGTTTCGCTTGATTTTTCTCACAATGGCTGCGTACATCACATTTACCCCAATTAGGCCTAACAAGTTCCCAATGTTTAAAACAATTTGCAGTTGGAACGATCCTTTCGTGAGAGTAATGAGTAATGCTATAAGATGGGCTGCAACAGCCGTCCCGAGAGTCATCATTCCTAACTTCCTCTTGTTCATGAATTTATTGTACGCATTCAGTTTGGTAAGATGCAAAAATCGGTCGAATGCGATCAGTATAAGCATAAGGAACGACGTGTATCCGGTTGATATTGCTACGTATTGCACTGCGTGGTGCAAGTGACAGTTGTGCAATTCAGCCTGTTTGTACAGCAAGCTGATGAGAAGGGGAAATGCCAAAACACCTACAGTTATGTCTGACAAAGACATTGCTTTTACTAGCTTGTTTGTTGATGTGTTCATCTGTTTCGTTTTATGCAAAGCGACAATCAAATATGTATTGACTGTGATCAGTAACATTGCAATAAGCACACAAGCTGTGATCCAAATCGTCAGGTGCACTGGAGCAACACCGATATTCAGTAATGTGTAACAAATCACGGCCATTTTTTAAAGTCAGTCCAATGTTATTTGATTTAATTACCAATTTTTACGTTTCCAATGTGTGTTCAATCACATTTCAGCTTTGTCAAGAGAGAAATGCATTACAACAAAGCATAAAGTGGGAACATTTCGCACCTGTCATTCGAAGTGAGCCTCCTTGACACTGGCTCAATCAGTCATGAGAAATGCGACTGAAAGTCGATGCAGCAGCAGAGTTTGGATTTCGGCAACACTTCCAAAGGTCATGATATTTACGGAAATTCTTAGTGAATCAACGAAATCTGCAATAAGTGATATGAGCGAAGGCAAAAGCTTTGTGCATTAAATTAAAGGCATAAGTTCTATTGACATTAATATGTAAACAAAGAATTACATGAAAGCACGAAGGATTAATTTGGCCAGAAAACGAAGCAAACCTCTCTGCTTTAGAAAAACAATCGAATAGAGCTTCGTTGGGTGTAACGCAGCATCGCATTCTCTGCCTTGCAGCTGTTCGCTAGAGCAGTTATCTTGTTGGCAATGTCCGGTGATCAGCTGTCAATATTCAGCTTTATCTTCCCATGTTCTTCCCTTGTTCCAAACTCTATTGCCAATGTATTATCAACCTTGACAGATGTTGTCACATTTTCTAGGGTTCTCAATTACAATTTCGACAATTTTTTTTACTTATACAATCATGTTGTTATGGAAACTAGCTTCTTTTATGAAATTATTTTATTAATTCAATGTAACACCTGTTAAACTGTCGTTTTATTCTTTCAAATGCCTTGAATTTCAATAACTTTCAATTATTGAACATTTTTTTCCGTAGATTGACTTTCAGAGTACGGATTTCCATATTTGCTCTGAAGGTTATGTTGTATTATTTTTTCGAAAAAGTTCCCCATTTCATCCTGGTCGATAAGCACGTGGTCGATCTTTGGTCTTGCTTCTTCGGTAATCCTTTCGGTAATCAAGTTTTTTGGGGTATTATTCATCATTCGAAAGCCAATTTGAGCTTGTAAACCAACTTGGTTATAGATGCTAGATGCTCCAAAGTCTGAATCGATTATTCTCTTATTTTAATATTTTTTTGATTCTTCTATCTTCTTTACTTTCGGTCACTGTCTGTCCTAGATTCTTGAAGTTCTCTGTAAAAATCACATTGATCCGTTTCTTCTTGATCTCCAATACCGAGAACATCAAGTTTCTTATAATCATCACTAATGTTCCTTGCATTTTTCAGTGCCATCCCCATCGTGAACTTTTGCCCTTGCCAATCGGTTTTATTTTTTACTCTCTCGTGTATGCATACATTTTCTTTTTCTTGCAAATTATGTATTTTCACTGTGTTTAAGTTTGGTAGTTTTTCTTCTGTAACCAGAGACATCCCCCTTTCAAGCCCTCTGTCACCACTGGTAAACCAAGGCTATTTCAGGTCCCGCGTCAATCAAAATACACTTGCATTCAAAATGTATTGGGACAAACTTCAAAATACACTTGCATTTTAAGCAACAAATTTTGAAAGACTTTTTAATAATCTTTCTCATTAAAAAAAGGACCGCATCCATGAAATTTCCGCAAGATATAGTTCATGTTCCGAAGCCGTTTAGGTACGCACAACAATTCAAAAAACATCAACCATAAAATTTCTTTTCTTACAAATTGCGGTGTGTTAGCGGTTACTTTTGTGGTGTGTTAGAAGATTTGCCGTATAAGAAAAGTAGAAATAAATTACCAAGGTTTGACAGACCGAAGAAGTTCACGACGCCGAGATACAAAAGGTCATTTCTGAGGGAACTGTGAATTAACAGGTTTGACTCCTTACCAGACATTACATTGCCATGTAAAAAGAAGCTCAATCTAGGAACATACTCTAAGGTCTTAATAGAAGGGGGGACGCTTATTAATTTTTCGATTTTTTTCTGACCCCCTGGAGCTTTTTTGGACCCCCGCTCCCCCTTTATTAATTTTTATATGCAGTCATTCATATCCTTTTTTCATTTGTCCTTTGTTCTTGCAGCTGTGAAATTTCTGTAAAGTTTTACTTTAATGAAGAGGTTGCATTGTACAAAAGTTTTAACTTAAAACATTAGTATGACATCCAAAAGAAATTAGTATGACATCGCAATGCTCTTTCACGAATTTTGTTTACCTTAGAATTGATCGTCCTGTCATGGAATATGCATACAAGGGTACAGTAATTGAACTGCGAGTTAATGAAAGCATCCATCGGCAATTTTAATTTGACAGGATCCGTATAATTAAAGAGGCGAGCAAGTGCGTGCAATTTTTGATTTGCTTTTTGCATAAATCTTCGACATGTTTTGTGAAACTTAATTTTTTTATAAAAGTAACTCCCAATAGCTTTTCATAATCACTTTCTTTAATTATGGAGTTACCAATAGTGACTACTGAGTCTTTACATTTGTTACCCAATATCATAAGGTGACATTTGTCTTCGTTAAGTTTCATGTTAATCTCTGAAAACCATTTTGCAAGTACAGCACTGTCTATTTCTAATTTTTTAATTATAGTATTGAGATCTGAATTGCATGCATAGATAGTGGTGTCGTCAGCATAGTTACAAATGTTTTTAAAATTTACAAAGAAGAAAATGTCATTTATGAAGATATTGAATGAAAGAGGCCCTAGAACTGATCCTTGCAGTACCCCTATCGTAACATCTCTCCAACTACTCTATGAGCTGTTTGTTTTGACTCTTTGTTTCCTCTTTGATAAATAGCTTTTGATTAGCTTGAGAGCATCCCAGCTGAGACCATGAGCAGCTAGTTTTGCGATCAAAAGATCGTGATTCATGCAATCGAATGCTTTTGAAAGGTCCATCAGGATTGCTCCAGCTATTTCCTTATTGTCAAGACTTGCTTTACATGTTTGTAAACAAATTAACAAAACGTGCTGCGTGTAATACCCTTTTCGAAAACCACCCAAAAGTGAAGAGAAGAAGATGGCAATGTAATCAAAAAGCTGATTATACATAATGCGTTCAAATACCTTTGAAATAGCTGGAAGTAGGCTTATAGGCCAATAATTTTGCTTTCTCGTGTTATCATCTTTCTTGTAAAGCGAAGAAATGTCAGCAAGTTTAAGATCATCTGGGAAAGCACAGTCAACTACAAGGTTGTTGAAAATTTCAGTTAGTGGTAATGAAAATAGATCGGCATTTGCTCGAAGTATTTTTGCTGGAATGGCTTCTTGCGGCGACGCCGTTTTAGGATCTAATTTTATTAACTGGTTGAACATTCCTTGGACTGTGATTTGGTGAAATGAGAAACTTAGAGAGCTTTTCACTGTAGCCCTAATCTTAGCAATACTAGGATGGCACTGGAAACGTTAAACAGTCGTTTGTAAAGTATCTTGCGAAGAAATATCCAGGTTTGTGGAGTCCTCTTCACAAGCTACACCTAACGTTTTGGTAATATCAACAAAATATTCATTCAAGATTTCCGCAACCCTAGTATCGTCTGATTCAACAACATCGTTTTCGAGAAGCGTAATACTAGCACGTCCTTCAATCTTGTTCGAGAAAAGGGCCTTTACTGTTCTCCAAAACTTTTTGCTGTCGCTAACAACTTTTGGGTCTAGTCGATTATAATATGATCTTTTGTTTTGACGCAATAGTTTCTTTGTTTTTTAAAAGCAGTCCAGTTCTCATTTGTCTTACTTTTGTTAAACCTATTCTTTAGTCTAGTACGCTTCATGTTTGCTTTTCTAAGTTCTTTGGTCATAAAAGGGCCATCATTTGCTCGCACATATTTCTTCTTGCACGGAGCATGCTTATCTAGCACTTTTTTAGAAATCCTATTGACATTCGCAAAATCTTGATTGCCCTCAGAATTAGAGGTAAGCTCTTCCAGAAGTTCCGCCCTAAAAACTGAGTTGTTAAATTTATTATAATCCCGGTACGTTATAATTCTAGGGCCTCTTTTAAGAAAGCTTCCTTTCAAAGCGGTAGCTATCATAACGTGGAAGTCCGACAGCCCAGTTTCAATTGTTGTAGTATTTTCAAGTCTTGTGGTATCACTAGTAAGTATCAAGTCAATGCAAGTTGGACTATCGGATATAAAACATGTATGTTTCTTAACGCCTTTATCTAAATTACAGCTGTTCATGAAGTCTTGCAAATTTGAATTTTCCTCGCCAAGGTTAAAATCCACAACTACTAGAAAATTTTCATAATTGGTGAAATAATGCTCCATGCTTTTGCTGATTTCTTCGAAGAAAAATCTCTCTGATTGAGACGGAGGACGGTAGATACCAATAAGAAACCATTTTACTCTGTGAAGATTTATTTTAACTGCTTTATTTTGCAATTTCTTGGGAAGTTAAACCATTTGGTGAAACTTCTCTCGCGGGAACACCCTCTTTTATATATACCAGAAGACCTCCTCCATGTCGATTCCTATCTGCTCTTAGGGGTGGCATATAGCCATCAATACGGAATTGATTAGTTGGGAAAGTTTCGTCTATTTTCGTCTCTACTTTTATCAGGATATCGATATCTTTAAAAATCACACATTTCAGTGCTTCTAATTTATTTCTTATTGAACTGATATTCAGGTGTGCAATTAGTAAGTTGTTTTTATTAGATAGTCGCAACTTTTTTAGAATCAAACTGACATCTACATCCTCATTGTCATCATCAGAGTTATCTAATATATCATAAGTAATTTTCATGTTAGGCTGCAATGTTCTTTTTGTAATTTTTCGTTTCGTCCATTAAAGTTCTCATTCGATTCATTGCTAATACAGGCTGGAGGTCAATCCTGCTGATGTACATAATGGTAATTAGCCTGCTCATTTTAGCAATACAACAATACATTATTACACATGGTGGTAAATGTCATTTGGCTTTATCGATTGTATTCATAAGAAATTCTCTATCTGCACTTTTTTGGTTTGCACGAAGTAGGTAGGTAGGTATCCTCGGCTCGCATATATGCAAGTAACACTACTGATAAACTGAATGAAATCTTCCTGCTTTCTGAGATCATGGACGAACAAAGCGCAAAAGAAACGAACTTATCTCACGCTGACCCCAGCTATTATCTATTAATCCTTCCGTTATTCTTATGCCAAACGATTTTACAGTTTAATTCGCAAAATAACAGATTTCCTCTAGATTTTTCACATTTCCGGTCCCCCATTTACTAAGACCCCCCCCCCCCCCTTATTTATTCTTTGAAAAATTTCTGACATTTCTCTGCTTAATAAGAAGAAAATGCTCTCTCAAAGCACAAATTAATTGTCCCGACGAGTACTGTGGCTTTTCTTTAGTGTTATGCAGTTTTAAAAGTAGTGTGGGTAAATTCACGCGGCTTTGTTATGCAAATGTGAATTAAAAAATTGAATTCGTTTCATCATCTCTAAAAAATTGCAAAGGCCTTGTGAGTTCGTTTTTAGGCCATGCAACTCTTGCAGTTTTTGCTATCATTAACAGGAAATTGAACAGGAAAACAATGCTTTCATAATTATGATTCAAAAGTTGAAGTGCTTTTTCAACTTTTAAGCACATTTTAGGGATACATAGGCCTACAATGCCTGCCAAAAGTCTTGGAACACCGAAATCAATTTCCAAGGTCAAAATCAATCATCCCCCTCTCCCCTACAGAATAATGTTGGTTTACTATCAAACGGGTTAGGATTTTAGGAAGCACTTTCTTTTGCGCTTCTTTTATGATATTTTTCTCAATCATCAACATTGTTTTAGGGGAAGGGGGTGGAAGTAGCAATTTTTTTTCATGAAAGGAACGAAAGATATCAAATGCAGCGTAAATTGATGGGTGTTCCAAGTACTTTTGGCAGGCATTGTAGATTATCTGAAGAAGGACAAAGCTCTTCTTCCGAAGGTGTCCCAATACTCTTTTAACCTAAGTGTAGTTATTTCTTCTTTACTCTCAACTTAACCTTCATACTTCAATTTCCAATTTTACATCCGTCCTTACAAAATTTAGCTTCATTTGTGGGAGTCTGTTTCAAGCTGTCATGTTCAGACAGGGTGCCACGTTTGCCCATTTTCATGTTTGAAAGGCATCAAAGCCTCTTCTCAGCTTTTCCTAGAGTCTGCCTACTCTTTCATAAAATATGCCTTTGATACTCCCCAAATGTTTGATGTTTGTTTCGTGAGCAATTTACATTACCACCAACAATGACCGATTTAGGGCCATAGACTCGAGCATGCGCCCAGTCCGAATACGCGCCCACTATTGGGCCAAACAAATTCAAAAGACCGAAAATGTTGCTTATTTAAATAAGTTAAAATATGACTGTATTGAGAAAGACAGTTGTGAACTCCAGTTGTGTGAGTGTCGTTGTCCTGTGCTTCTTAACAGTGGAGCTCTTCCCAAGTCCAAAATCTTCGTAGATACGATGTCCCTGTAATGCACTCAAGATCGTTGTGGTGTAATGGAGTAAACGAGACAACTATTAAATCCTGATAGGCATAAGCGTACGGGCCGGGGGGGGCTGGGGGGGCGGCAGCCACCCCCCCCCCCCCAGTTTTCGAAAAACCATGTCAATTGGGCAAATTTTCAAAAATTCTCCGCAAATAGTCAGGCAGAAATGACTTCAAATAACCCAAAGACTGAAAGCTATGAGTCAATATCGTTGCATTATCAAATCGACCAAAAGTGCCTTAAAAATGATAAGATGGTTTTTGAAAATTACAAGAAGCAAAGCGCTTCTGAATCGTATGGTAATAATGCAGCAATGCTTGTCTAGAAGATGTTTCAAGAAGGTTTGCATCAAGTACTGCCATTCCTGTATGAAACAACATCATTGCTAGCAACGATTCCAACAACATCTTGCTCAGCTGAAAGATGATTCAGTGGCCTTCGACGGCTGAAAACATATTTCAGATCAACCATGGGCCAAGAACGGCTGAGAGATTCACATTGGCACTACTTAGCATCGAAAAGAAATTTTCAAACGAAGTTTTGAAAAGTGACATGAATGCGATGATTGATACATTTGGACATAGAAAGGGTCGGGACTCACATTTTTTTGACTGTAGTCGAATTCAAGAGTTAATAGTAGTATTTTAAGTGATATTACATAAAATATTGGAAAATATTATACATTGCTGCCCTTATCTATGAGAAAATTACATCAAACTTTTAGATCTGAACAGTAGACATTATAGAAGAGTCGATAAGGATAGCATGTCCCCCCAAACATGTCTCTGATTGGTTTGCTCAACTCTCAACTGACTTATTTTATATTAGATATTTCGGTGAAAAAGAACTCGTAATGTAAATATTCCTATGTCAAGCTCCTTATCACCTACAGGCTCAAAAATATATGCATGCCTCTGTACGCGGGCAAAAATCCTACCGCCCCCCTGTAAAAATTCCGCCGTACGCTTATGCTGATAGGTTAATATTGTGTTTATTTATAAGACAAGAAAATATCATTTCAAAATCTTGTTTAAAGCCTCATTTTGAATAACCTGAAAGTGAGATAAGCGCTTAATCGGTCCTTCTGGTATTTCTTTTTTTGACCTCTTCTTGCGGCGTCGCCATGTATTTCAAGAAGTTCTGTGTTAGTAACGCTGTTTTAAATTGTGTAATGGACATAAGTAAAAATATGTGTCCCTATTAGAAGCAAGTAAAGATTACGAGCAGCCCGTGCCACAACTTCACGCACTGCGCACTCCATAATCTTAATTTGAAACTAGATTATAACATTCTGTGTGGGAAAATCCGAGCAAGCACGTTTATCGAAGGATTTTGTGAGCGTGGAAGAAGAAACTGTTGCTTGCTGACGTCATAGAAATTTTTTAGAATGATCATAATTTACATGTTTATCTAATGTAGTATATTCTGAAATCCAATGATGTTATATGTACACAATTATTTGTCCAGGTATCCAGAAGTATTTCCATAAGGCACTAAACCTTTACCTATAATTACATAACATTCAGTATTCGTTCATGGCAATAGATCGTCGATATTCTCGTCAGCTTCCAGCGCCTTCTCCATTTTCACAAGCAGCTTCACTCCATCTACGACCCGCTGCACCAACTCCACTTCTGAGTATCCAATTCTGTCTGCATTTGAAATGTCAAATATCCCATCTTCTGCAGCGGTATCTACTCCTCCAGTACCACGCTTCTGTAGACGTAGTTTGGCTGTGATTACAAAACATTTCCATGAGTTGTTTCATACGTTTTTACAAAGAGCAAATAAATATTTTGATAGTGCAGCTTTAGCGATTGCAAGCTTTACATCAAACAAAAGATACATATCCCATCAAAAATATAACATGGCAACCTCGTGTGGTCGATCAACAAGCTTTCTAAACATCGCAGGCAATCATTATTTATTTTAACAGAGGTTCTTTTGCAGAAAGTCCTTGCTGTTCCTTATTTCTGATTTCAAATGCTTTCAAGTCAAATGATTTAAATCGTGGTTCTGTTTACTAACAAGCCTGTTAATCCAAGATTGCACCGTAAAATATAAAAATCCCTTCCTCAAATTGTATTGAGTTGTATTGTATTGAATTGTATTGTAAACAGGACCAATTAACTTGAAAGGGGAAGATGTAAAGTATCTCATATATTTTAAGGTTTATTTTTATCGTTTGTTCAACTTTGAGTCACCCATCTTCATGTTGGTTTTGGCTAAATTTTTGCAACCTTTGTTGGTTTTTAAATTTGATTTAAGAATATCGCTATCGTCATTAAGTCTGTGTACACAATTTACATTTAGACAAAATTTTTGCTCTTTTGACAACTTTCCAGCATGGCTATTTTTTGTTTCAGACTTTTATTAGCCTCAGCTGTTTTGAAACCCTATTTCGCTCCTTTCTACCATTTTGATATCACTTGATGCACGCTTTAGATTGGATTATAAAAAACCATGACAAGAAAAGGAGCTAGGAAAGAGCCCTGGGGAAAATCACTTCTAATAATATGTTTCGCTCAATCAATAAGCAGTGTCCTTATCAATGACAAAGTAGGATGAGAAATAAATTATTTTCTAGCTCTTTTTCATTTTTTGTCTTTAGCTGGCCTCCTTTTGAATACGTAGAACTTTTTCAATCTGAGGTGACAATCTAGCGACTCTTATGTTTTGTTTATTGCCACATGCATGATCTCGCAACACGATTCATAATAGAAAACAATTATCAGCACAAACCATCTTTAACCTTTCCAGCTTCTACCGCGATGTATATCAAACAAAGGGAAGTCCGTAAAAAAGTTGCTTTGTGTCAACTTGTATCAATGCGAACTCAGAACTGGGGTTTGAAATTAGTGAAAAGATGAAATTTTACCTAAAAAGACTAAATTAAAATTTGCACACGTACTCAGTATTTCTTCGAATCTCCTCTCTTTTGACAGGCAGGGGAGTTTTACGTGCACCCCCGCCCTGATGCCAGTTCCGAGATTTGAAGGACATGTCAATATAAATCCGAGGTGATCATTCCACATGAATTCGTGCCCAGCCTCCTTCATCTTTGACTCAAATCTTGTCAGCCCATCACAGAACCGACTAAAGACTGCTTTCATGTTTCCTCCCCTCTCCATCGAAATGACTCTGATGTGATCCTCTTCATTGACCCATAACAGGAAGTTCTTTGCGTTGTTATGCCAGATACCACGAGCGTCTGGCCAATCGCGCGCCATTCCTGCGCAGGTTAAGAGCGGCGAGACTGGCTTGTCAAATAAAAAGTGATCTTTTATTAATAGTTCTTGTTCTTCCTCTGTCATCTGACTTAGTGGATAGTATTTACCTGGAAAAGAAATCTGCATCTTGAACGAATGTAAGCAATGCAATAGACCACATTGGAGTTAAGTAATTGAAATTTCTTATTTCAATTATGTACAGGAATCCTGCATCGTATCGTTTCACCAGAGAACAAAACAAAGACAATGATCCCATGCTTACACAACAGATCACGATGCAAAAAAGATTTTCAAATAATTTTGCGAGGGGTTTTTATTTATTATGCTAAAAGAGAAGAACAAATTTACCAATCACTTGTGGGTACTCTTGAAGAAGCTACTCAGTGTTCAGAAGATATTTTACGTAATATTAATTCTCACTAAAATGCAAAAAGATTTGTTTATACCACATTATATCAAAAATAAAATATACGAGGCTTCGGAAAATTTCCGTTACTTGATGTGGTATATAAATAATAACTTGACATTTAAGTCATACCTTCAAAATCTCCTTCAAACTTGCTCAACACGTTAGTGACTATTTTTTCAGTTTCTCTTCTCTCTGCTCTCGTGCAATGCGGAGGCAAACAAAGCCCTCTTATGCTGCGACCTGTTCGAACACGGCACGAAAACACGTAGCTTGGGTCCAAGTCATCTCCACCTACCAACTTATTATGATCCAGGTCAGTCACATGCTTTGCCTCTTTTGGATATCCGCCATGTCGACCATCGATAATGAGGTCAAAGAACTCAGAGAAAACATCGTATGACTCTTCGTCGCCAGCTACACATCCAACCGTCATTATGAAAGGATGCCCAGGGTTGTCAACCCCAGTTTGGATGATTTTGTCGAAAGAAACACCATTTGGAGTTCGAAGCTGGCTCATTTTTCTATAAAGATCAGTTGTGAGGCACTTGCTAGACCAGTTATTATGCTTTTCAAAGTCAGGAAAATTTTCCTAAAAAAAAGTCTTTAATTCACCAAAGGCTGTTTGCATATGAAAATTTGCATAAAAATATTCTAGGCTTCATTTTGAAAGGTGTCACTCGCCCCTTCATGAATTTATTTTCAAAACTTTTATATTAAAATGTTTCAAATAACTCCATGATTATGGGAGCATTGGGAAGATTGAAAATGTTGTAAGCTAAGACTAAGTTATTGTAAAGAATAAAGTGAATTGAACCTGAATCAGATGGTTTTCAGTAGCATTGCATGCACATTATAACAATATTAAAAAATGATAAAACTCGAGTTCTACATTTACTCACCTCACTACTTTCTCCTTTTCCCCCAGCAACCAAAGAGCCGTCTTGCGATTTATTTTTCTTTTTCTCCGCCTTTAACCTACTTTTCTCTTCTTGTTCGAGTGACTTCTCTGTTTCAACAAGTTCTTTTACACCATCAACAACTCGTTGCACCAACTCAACCTCTGAATAACCTAGCCTGTCTGAGTTCGAAATATCGAATACGCCCCCCACTGATGCGGTATCTACACCTCCAGTTCCCCGCTTCTGCAGCTTGTACTTTCCCAATATCTCGTCGAAGAGCGGCTTCTGAGAAAGCAATGGCAACTTCACGTGCACCCCAGCTCTCATCCCCGTTCCAAGGTTTGACGGACAAGTCAAGAGATAACCAAGCGTTTCATTCCACATGAATTCGAAGCCATCTTCTTTCATGACTTCTTCAAACTTCTGCAACGCACCGCAAAACCTATTGAATACTTCTTTCATGTTGCCACCTTTTTGCATTGATATGACACGCGTGTGATCTTCTTCATTTACCCAAATAAGGAAATTCTTTTTGCTGTTATGAAATATGCCCCTTGCATCTGGCCAATCGCGTGCCATCCTAGCAGATGTCAGTAGGGGTGAGACTGGTTTGTCAAACAAGAAATGATCGTTAATCAATTTCTCTTGGTCTGATGCGCTCATTTTGGTAAGTGAGTAGTATTTGCCTTTTAAATTCCCCGGCAATTTTGAAGCAGCTTTTGTCACTATGCACTCTACTTTGCGTCTTTCAGCTCTAGTGCAAAACGGGGGTAGACAGAAACCGCGAATGGATCTTCCAGTACGAACTCTGCACGACAAGACATACTTAGAATCCAAGTCGTCACCCCCTTTAAGCTTCTTTGGGTCAAGATCTGTCACATGCCCACTTGCAACTTTGAATCCACTATGGCGCAACTCGATGACCGGGTTGAGAAAATCGGCAAAAACCGAATAGGATTCTTCGTCCCCAGCAACACATCCGACCGTTTTAATGAAGGGGTGACCCGGGTTGTCAACACCGGTTTGTATTACATCATCTAGTGTGAATCCTGCCGGAGTTCGCTGATTGCATAATTTTCCATACAGCTGTTGCGTCAATACCTGAAAAAAACAATTTCCATCTTTCCTACCTCCATTCGTTGCAATCTAAAATTACCTACCGTTACATCAGATCGAATATCTAATGTAACACAATAATGAGGGAAATGAACTCCAATCTTTTTAATGTTTAGTGGCTACATAATAACAATGAAAACGTCATCGCTTCTTTTTCGTTCGCTCGTGATAACAATTTATTTAGATACAAAAACAATTTGAGAGACTAAATTGGAAAAATTGAACTCAAAGCTGATTTACTTATGGATGAAGCAAAAATAACGTTTTTTAATCCGCACAGCCAGCATCAAAACCCCATAAGTTACTAAACAATTAAACCTCTAAAAAAGCTAAAAGGACAGACCTTTAAAAAAATAAACAATAACAACCGCAACAAGAATACATAATAAGCTATAAACTACGCGTGCATAATGATTCACACATTCTTACCTCCGCAGCCAAATTATTGTGTTGCGACAAATCAGGAAAATTTTCTCCTGGCTCAACTCTGCGTGTTGTCACAAGGTTTACCGTCTCTCTTATTGGCTTCTTGTAAGCTCTGATATTGTTTATCAAGTCTTGAATGCTTTCGTTCCTTTCTAGCGCTTTCTCAATGGCAATCAGACATTTTACTCCATCGACGACATTCTGAACTAGCTCAACCTAAAATGAAGAAACATGATATTGAAAATCTGCCTCTTCAGAATATCAAATGCCAAGCCTGTAGAGGTGCTCTGCTTAAAGGCAATTGAAGATACAAGATCCCTGGTTTGTTAAACAACAGTTATACTGCCAAAGGCTTCTAGGATAAAAACAGAGGAAAGAAAAGGAATGCCTCAACTGGGAAGATAGATTTTCAGAAAAAAGGCTGGAAGAAAATTACCTCCGAATATCCTAATCGGTCGGTATTAGATACGTCATAAACGCCATTCTCAGACTCTGTATCCACACCTCCAGGGCCTCGTTTCTGCAGTCTCATCTTCTCCAATATTTGCTCGAATTCATCACGTTTGCTCAACAACCGTAACTTGACATGGACACTAGCTCGCAAACCTGTTCCAAGATTTGATGGGCAAGTGAGAATATACCCAATATGTTCATTCCACATGAAGCTGTTTCCGTTTGCTTTAATTGCCTTCTCCACAAGATCTAGGCCCTTGCAAAATCGAGTAAAAACGTCTTTCATGTTGCCCCCTTTGTCCATGGATATAATTCGGCTATGGTCTTCTTCATTCATCCAAACCAGAAAATTTCTATCGTTATTCATCCATATGCCCCTTGCATCGGGCCAGTCTCGTGTCATTCTGGCAGATGTCAGCAATGGAGAGACAGGCTCGTCAAACAGAAAGTGTTCTTTGATCAGCTGATCTTGCTGTTCGAATGGCATTGTGGGAAGAGGATAATAGCTTCCTGTCATTATAAATTAACACTATCAGTTTGCAGAAATTAATAAAACCTAAAACGACCATAAATGCCATTGCAGAACTATCTTGTCAATATTTCAAGGTAAAATTTATCGCTAATAGCAACAAACACTGAGTATAAAATTTGTGCTTTAGTATGTCTTTTTTATATACTTACTTTATTGTGTGAGCCATTTTCAAAAGTGTCAAAAACTATTGAAAATAAATTAATAGAACATGAAAAAGATATTGAAATTTGAACAAAAAAGCGAGGCAGTGCTTTTATTATTATTATTGTTATTATTAAAACTATGATTTAAAGTTGGCTGTTCGAAATGGCTAAAGTTAAAAGCTAGTTAAGGCCAACTATTTACAAAAGGTGTAGGTATACAAAAGAAATACACAATAATTACAAGAAACCTAAACCATATATAAAAGTTTTGCAAATCCTACAGTTGCAATGTTTGCATTTTGTTTTCTTAAGATGTTTTTTAAAAACAGTCAAAGAGACTGGAGTTTTCACTTCTATAGGTAATTTTGTCCATATCCTTTAACCTATGAACCTTACGGTATCTGTACCATAGCATGTGGTTCTCACTTTTGGAAATTTTAAATTGCTCGAATTTCTTAGTTGATACGGCATCGCCTTTTTCTAAAAAATTTCCATCATAAACGAAGGATTCAAGTGATTTCTTGTTTTGTAAATTTCAACCATGAGCAACTGTAAGTTCTTCTGATGTATAGATACCGAATTATCATTTTCTAACAGAAAACCGAATTATCAGACACCGAATTATGTTTTAAGCTTTTTTGATAGCTGTTGAAAGTTTTAAATAACATTAGAGTGGTTTGCCAATTTGGCTGACGTTCTGTTCTAACAATTATTGAAAAAGGCCCAAAGCCTAAAATAAACCTACAATACGTGCTCGTTGGTGAGATATCTTTCTCATACTACATAACTGAGCTAAAAAGCAGGAGTGCCCTTTACCTTTAAACACTCCCTCTAGAGAATTCACTGCTTCCACTATGATTTTCTCAACAGCTCTTCTTTCTGCTCTTGTACAAAATGGAGGCAAACAGTATCCCCTAATACTGCGACCAGTTCTTATGCGACTCGACATTACGTAATTTTTGTCTAGATCATCTCCCCCTACAAGATTCTCTGGGTTCAGATCTGTTCTGTGATTTGCCGTTGGTTTATATCCTCCATGTCGGAGCTCGATTATGGGGTCAAGCAACTCTGCAAATACTTTGTAGCATTCCTATAAAACAAAGAATGTGTTTTTGTATATAAAAGAAATACAAAAAATGATTTAAGTTCATACCTTCTGCACGCTTAATAAAGGCTTTGAAAATGTTTCTACTCGCTACATAATATTTTTTTCCCTGTTCAAGAAAAAATTTAGTGACAAATCAAAGTTGATAAATTGCAACTCTAGCTTCTGGTGGAAGTTAGAAGGAAGTCAAAGATTTTTTAGTTACAGCATTTGCTGATTTTCCTTGATCTTTAACTACTCAAGTATGATCTTTATTGATTTTTCAACAACCTCTTAAGATTCAAGAATAAAATAAATAAAAATACCTCATCTCCTGCAACACATCCTACGGTCCTGATAAATGGATGGCCAGGGCTGTCAACCCCAGTCTGGATGACATTGTCGATTGTGTATCCACTAGATGTTTTGACGTTGCATAGTTTCATGTACAGCTCCAACGTCAAAACTTTCGACATGTAACTACAGTTCCCTCTAAGATCTGGGTAGCCAACTTGACTTGCCTTAGCACCCCTCCCATTACCGCCTGGCCTGCAAAACAAAAACATACAGAATCAAAAGAGAAAAAGTATCAATTTCAACTAATTTTTTGTGACTGATACTTAAAAAACATTTACGAAAGATAATGGTTTTGCTGTGACTTGTGAAGTTCAGGTCACAACAACATTAGAACATTGACTTCTAGAGTAAAGTGAATCACTTTTTCAATAAGTTCATGTTTATTGGTGCAGTTTTTAATTCATTAGAAGAGCACGTTATTTCAGTCAAATTCAAAGCAATATGTAATACATATATTGCATTGAACAATGCCTAGATTATATAGAAAAATGATTTAAATTAAGTCGCTTTTAAGTAACTCGTTACTTATTGTATCAAAGAGCTACTCACTTTTTGCTGACTGCTGACTTAACACCTGCGAAAAAAGATCACAATGAATCAGTTTCATATTTGGTTTATAGGTAGATGTTTTAGATATTTTTATACTTACTCAAAGAAAAAAGTTATAAATTGTTTTTGAAAAATTAAGCTGCTTAGGTGAATCTGTTTTTAACTGTAGAAATATTACAAAGGAACTACATAAAAATATCAATAACGTGACATACCAGATGATTTAGAGGTTCCACACCCCATTTTCAGGAGTTTGACCAATCTCAGGTTATACTAACGAATGAAAACGCGAATGCAAATCGAACGACGCAATCGAAGGAACTGAACGGTTGGAAGAAAGCACTTTGACGTCATATTAAGAATACAGCAACAGCAACATAAAAGAATCTTCTCCGTTAAAACCGTTAATAGCTCTTTTTCAAAATGCTACCAATACGTACTTGTGTTTAACTGAAGACTGCAATATCTTAAAATATCTTATTTACTTCCAAAACTAACTTTTGATATCGAAAACCTAACTCATATTGTGAATTGCAAAGTTTCCTGATAAATTCTGTAATCTCTCCTGCTTTCATAAAAAGTTGTGAAAAACAAGCGAGTGAAAGAATGATGAAAGGCAAGTTTCTTGCTAAAATTTAGTCGCTAGAAAATATGTTTACTAAAATTTCAAGCTAAAAGGATGTAAATGTTTTGAGCATCTTTCACGTCTTCATTCTTATATGATTTTAAAGGTTCTTTTTCTGTTTTATCTCAGGTTGGTTTATGAACTCGCAACATATCTACAAAGACAAAAGTATTAGGACGATAATGAATAACAAATGGCAGGCCTGAAACGAGCATTCTAACATTGTTTGAAAAATTTTGCTATTGTGGCGGGATTCTAGGAGTGGCGTCAGCAAAAGAGGGCAATTCCTAGCAAATTAATATTAGTTTCTACCTCTCTGTGAAAGAAGCATAACAAAAGTCACGGAGAATATCATAGTTTCATGGGGAGTCTCAAAGTTTTTGTTTTATTGCCGAAAACACAAAAACGTCCAGAAGGCGAATGAGAAGTGATTAAAAGTTTGGGTCTAGCAGGTCATGCGTTTGCTGAAATTGCAAGAAAGTTTGCTTGCAGCAAGTCTATAACACGAGACACTTTGACTTTGCCGCAACAGTAAGTTCCCTAAATGCGGTTCGGTTGAAAGCAATTCTGCCACACTTCTCCAATGACTTTCCGGTCCTCGAGCTGATGTCGGCACATCAGTTGTTCCGCGGCCTTCCTCTAGGCCTGACGCCTTCGACCATGCCCTGTAGCACTTGGTGGGCAACGTCCCTGCTTGACGGGAAGTGTGCCCATAATATTGCATTTTTCTTCTTCTTGCTGTTCCCAGCAATGGCTCATAGTCTCCTATCTCGGACTTAATTCTTTCTCTCACGGTTTGGTTTGTCACTTGGTCTTTCCAGCTGCTCTTGGCTCTTTATCTCGAACGCTTCTAATCTACTTTCAATCGTTTTGTTTGAATTTCCAACTTTGGCGTGTATAAAGTGTAGACTTAATGAGTGAATTTATCAAATTGGTTTTGGTTCTTATCTGCTTTTGTTATTTTGCCACATTTTATTCAGTTTTGCTAGCAAACTGGTTGCGATTGCAATTCGTATTTACACTTCTCTCGTCGAACTTAAATCGTTGTCTATAATTGAGCCGAGATAAGAAAGTTTTTAACGTTTCCAAGCTTCTCGTGTTAATTTGGATGTCGACTTCATTGTCCTCATCTTGTTTCGCGTTGTTACCATCACTTTAATTTTCTCACTACTACGGTCCTTTGGTTCTTTTAGTTCCTCAGGTGATCCGGCAATTCGGTCGATATCATCAGCGAAACGCAGGTTTCTTATAGTTCTTCCTCCGATTTTCAATAATCTTACAAAATCTTGCAAGGCGTTGTCTATGATCGATTGAATAACGTTGGCGAGAGTAGGCATCCTTGGCGTACACCTACAGTAGTACTAAACCATAATTGGTCCGTATCACCTAGTACTACGTTCTTGCTATTGTCATACAGTTCTTTTATCAGGCTGATGAGTTTAGGGCAAACGTCGTGTTTCCACAGTGTGGCCCACAATGCCTCTCTCTCCATACTCTGTCAAAAGCCTTTTTGTAGTCGATAAAGTTGTGGAATAGTTCTTTATTGTGGTCTCTACATTTCTCTGAGAGGATTCTTTGGTTAAAGATTTGCTCCGTTGTGCTTCTGTTACTTCTAAATCCAGCTTGCTCTTCAGCTAGGAAATTTTCTATTTTTGGATTAATTCTGTTAAGGATAATTTTCAGTGCTTCTTTTCTGCAGTGGCTTATTGGACATGTTGTTCTGTAATTAATGCATTTTTTTAAATCACCTTTCTTGGAAAGGATTACTATTAAGGATTCAAGCCATTGTGAAGGCCATTTGCCAGTTTTCCAAACTAAGTTGCAAATTCTGTGTAATGGCTCAACCGTGCCGTCGCATTTGAGCAGCTGCTTTCCCCACCTTCAGTGATCTGATTGCGTTCTCTACTTCTTCTCTTATAACGAAAAGCTCTTCCTGTTCTTCTTCTAGGTTCTCCCCTGGACATCCTCTCTGCAGTTCGACTAGTACACCAACGTCCGTTTTTAACAGATAGTTATATAATTGTTCAACATATTCTGTCCATCTTTTTTTATTTCTGGTCCTTCAGTCAGTAGCGTCCCGTCACTCTCTTTAATCGCTGTCATAATTTTTGCGCCATTTCCATTCGTAATTTTTTCTTTATAGTTTCAAAAGCAATTCTCGTGTTGTTGTGTTCAAAGCCGTGTTTGATTTCAGTACATCCTTTATTCAGCCAGTTATCTTTTGCTTCTTTGCTAGATTTCCGTACTTGAATGTTACTTTCTCTGTACTTTTTTGCCGCTCTGTCACTAATGTTGCGCTCAGCTTTTAGAGTTCTTCTTTTGTCACACATATCCATGGGCCTTGTAGTTATCCATGGTTGTTTCTTTTTCTTCTGATTTCCGAGCACCTGCTCCACCGTTTTTTCATTACATTTGTGAATTTGTCGTCGAGCTCTTATAAGTCGCTGATTACTAGCAACGGAACGAATTTTCCACCATTTTTTATCTTGAACTTATTTTTTCTGTTCTTCAGCTTATCTAGGTCAAACCTGATTCGCTGGTTTCTATTCGACTTGTCCTTTTTCAGATTCAGTTTCATCGTTATTAATAGCAGTGTGTGGTTACTTCCAAAATCAGCTCCAGGGAATGCTCTAGTTTTTTTTCCGTTGACACTAGATTGGCAGTTTTTCGAAACAAGTAAATATTCAATTTGGCTTTTGTGCACTCCACCGTGTGAAATTTACGTTGTCGTTCTTGAGTGTTTGTGCCTAAAGAGTGCGTTGGTGACCACTAAGTTGTGGAGTTTTGCAAATTCCAGCAGTCAGACGCCTCTTTTATTAGTTTTATCTGCTGCTGCAAACTTGCCCGTTGTACCCTGCCAGTGATCTTTGCGTCTTTGCCCGCTTTTGCGTTCCAATCGCCTTGGACAATGTCTACATCTTTTTCGTTAACTTTCTTTATTGGGGAGGCAAGTTCACAATAGAATTTCTCTATTTTGTTTTTTTCGCAAGCTGATATTGGCGCATACACTTGGATGATACAGTAAAAACCCGCGTGTAAGAACCTATTGATTTAAGAAACTTCTGGCAGAAATTTCCTTTTTAAATACTCTAAAATATACGAACCTGATTAGCCAAACAATTTCCAAAAGGTTCTTAAATTTGGGGTTTAACCATTTAATGTATCTACTTTTTTACCAAAAACCATGTATCATTGTTGGTGGACCTTTGGCAACATTGGTACACTAATAAATATTTAGAATGAAGAACAGAACTGTCATCAAGTACCAGTGGCGTAGCGTGACTTTTTCAACTGGGTATTCTCTATTAAACAAAAGGGTGGGGCAGGGTGTGGCTCGATGGGGCTTGATGAAAATAGGGGGATAATAGGAAGATTAAAAGGACTAGCTATTGACATTTTATCTAATTTTCTTTTTGGTTCGGTTGGCAAGTACTGCATTGTCAGGGCATTACTATGATGAAAACGATACTTTGCTAAAGAACCCAACGCAAATATACTCTTCAAACTCATTCGTTGCATCAAATTACCACTAACCATTTCATCAAAAGTAATTCAAATCAAAACATATCATTGAAAGCCAGTAAAATTTTACTGGTCGAAATATGTCCCAATAGTTGTTGTTGAATCGTTTAACATTTGCACTGATGTAAAGAGGAAGTAACTGTAAACACCTTCTCTTGATACCTTAATACAAAAGGGCTTTCGAAAGTTTCACAATTATTCACATAGGGCATTACATAAGTTATAAATGATATTGTGGTATGCAGTACAGACTTTTTCTTCATGGCCTAATCGTGATATTTTCAATACAAGTAAATATTTGAAAGAATCGAAGGTAATGAGATGAGACTGCACAATAATGCAAATAAATGCGCTCGAATAATGCAAACAAAATAGGCCAACAAGATAACTGAATACACCAGGCAACTATAAGGATATTATCTAGGCCTATCTGCATTTACTTTAATTCTATCACATAATACAAACAGAAACATCCCTGATTTGCAAGCAATAACAAATTGGCATTTCAAGAGGGAACAGATCTGAGTCAGTGTAGTATTATGTAGCAGCCTACCTTTCCTTTCCACTTTACTGTTGGTAGATTAAGTTTAGTGGTCAAATGAGAGAATGATTATGAAACAGTAATACGGACATTGCAATAGTTTTTCAATTAAGTCATGTTTACTGTTTTCGATGCAGCTCCATCACTCCAACCGCTCCGACGTTCATTAACTGTTTATATCGATCTCATAACGAGACTATTTTGAACCAACTTTGAGGCTGTACGCTGCATATTTCTCAGCGTACAGAACCATTGTTTTAGCTGATTAACGGCAAATATTATTCATGGAAAGGAGCATTTTGATTGGTTAAAGTACGGGCTAGGGTATTCACTGCGTATTCATGACCGATCTCCATACAACATGAAGTAGCTCAATCTTCAAAATTAGCTTCAAAGATCTCCCAGCTTCTCTATGCTTCGCAGCGTTATTGTTTCCATGAATTTGATGATATTTTGTACTTGTACAAAATGTAGAATATCGGAGGTAACGAATTCAAACAGAATCAATAGCCGCAAAACATTTTTTACTTATTACAATTATACGTCGTATTAATATTGTTTCTGAGAAATCTCAGGGTATTCACTGAATACCTTGAATACCCGGACGCTACGCCACTGTCAAGTACCCCATAATACAAGAACCTGTTTTGCCAAACTCTGAAAAAGTACTGATTCTCATAATTCTGCTGTTTGTTGGTTCAAATTCTAGCACATTTTTGACATTGTTTTTGCTAACTAGAAAACCGACGCCATTAAAATGAAGCCTTTCTTCTCCGCTGTACCAAAATCTATGACCATTTTCTGATGTGACTTCTTCTGAATTTAGTCACCTAGTTTTTGCTATTCCAAATACGCTCGAGCTGTATCTTTCCATTTCATAACAAAGTTCTTCTACTTTGGCGTCGGCAAGCTGGCATTCTGTGTGAAGTCAATCAATGCTAAATACATTGTCAAAATATTTGTGGAGAGCCTCCAGGCAAAGACAATTCACTTTTGAGCCAGACAATAAAGCTAGTTGTGTTGCAACTGTGACAAAAACTACCAAGGTCTTTTAACAATGGCGTCGTGGTCTTTCAATTACCCCGCCAAAGTCAAAGCCTTGATATAATTGAAAGCAACTGGTTTTCATAAAAAAAAATTCAAAGAAATGCAATCTTCTAAGACCAAAATTTATTTTACATTTATTTTCACAATTGGATCAAATTACAATCAAAAATTTCAGCCAACAATTTTCGCTACGCTCCATTGATTTTCTATGTTGTTCTTTGAACGAAGGGTTAACAACATTTTGCTTTGCGGCGATCGTACTAATACTTTTGTCATCTAAGTGTAAATTAATTTTGTTCACAGGCAAAAAATCGGCTTTTACAAGTGCCATGGTGCATAGCGCAGGTAGGACCGAAGATATTTTAATTTAAACCTATGTGAAATATTCCATCGGAAATAAAAGAATAGTCTAGAATGCCAGAGAACAAATTTGTCACATGTAAACATTTAATTGAAGATCAGCGGAAGAGGATCGAGAAAAGTTTTCATTTTGCATTGGACAAACTGTACTAGAAGCAAAGGAACAGCAATGGCACGGTAGATATGTGCAAACGAATAAACAAAAAAAAGCTTGAGAATAAACGGTTGAGAGAAATGAAGTTCTAGAGAAAGCAGGATGGGACCACATAAATCACATATACAAGAGAAAAGTAGCAATTGAAATGTACAAAATAGTGGAAGAGAAATATGAACAGAAAATGGGAAACGTTTTCATAAAATCAAAGAGAAGAGAAGAGAAATTAGAGGTAACAAGATTGAACTCTGAATTACAAAGATGCACTTTTAACTACAGGGGGGTCCTAATTTGGAATGAAATATCGGGTAGTATTAAAAAAACAAAAAGTAAACAGATTTTTAGGACAAAACTAAAAGAAGATATGAAAAAGTTAAAGAAGATCAATTTTTCTAAAGGGACATTTTGCGTAAGAAACAGATTTGCAGAGAATATAGATTATTAAAGTTAAAGTAAATTTGTTTAGGTACTGGAAATATTAATTGTAATTTTTTTTAAGTTCTTCTTTTATTTACCATTTTTACCTTGCAGCTCCAAGTAAGAAACTAACTGATCAGAAAAGCACTGGCTGGTTTCGGCTTTCCCGCATCAGAGAATATAAAAAAGACATAGTTGTTAACATGGTAAGAAATATAAATTTATACAAAGGCAGATAACTTCGAACTTCTTTACACACATCTTCTGCTTCTATTTTGCTACTTTTTGAATGTCTATTCAGGAACTGACATTATCTTTTCTTTTGTTTTTCTTTTTCTTTCTATCTTTAGCATGTGTCCTATCGATTTCACTTATTACTTCTTTCTGTGAATTCGAAGTACTTGATGACAATTCTTCAAGACATCTTTTTTTCACCTCTTTCTTCCTTTTAGTTATTTCCTTTCTATATAACTTTTTGGGGCTATCTGTAAAATTATGGAAAACAGAATCATTTTCATGCATCTTATGAAAACATTTTTTTAATTGTTTGTCAATTATACGAACAAAATTTTGAAAAAAACAATATTACAATAACAAACTATGTTAAACAGAATCGCTCTAAGCAATTAAAAAACTGCATCTTCACCTTAAAGAATGTAACAAGGTTGAAAATCTTCACAATTCATCCCTATGCCGATCAAGATTTTGCTGCATTTTACATAAAATGCTGCCAAAAGTGTCCTACACCATTTAATTATAATTATGCATATTTAATGGTGTTGTGACAGTATGCTATAACATTCTATAACTTCAAGCAGATTTTGGGATGTTTCAAAGGCAACTTCAGGCTGACAAATATACAAATATGCTACAAATTTAGAAACAGCACCGCTTCAGTATGCAAATGGAAAAATTGTGTTTCAAGAGTGAAAGTAGCAAGCAATAAAGATTAATTACCTGCTCCAAATGGAGTCCATTTATGAATGAGCTTTTCCGAGACTGTTGGCAGTGTCACTTCCTCTCTATCAGGGGTAACTACCGGTGGTATTCTGATAGACTGAGTGACAACCATGCTGCCATAAAGTGGCCTTCCTGTAAGGGTATTTACACTTATTCTATAATGATCAGGCCAAAAAATAATGGCAAAAATACCGAGAATACTGTTAAAAAGATAAACTGCCATTTCAGCATGAAATCCGTAGTGATATAACCTATATTAAGAAAAACTAACTGTGAATTTGTAGCAAAGAATGAAAACCATTGACACATACTCACCGACATAAAGTTTTCTTTCTTCAAATGAGGGAATAAGAATATTTATTGATTCCATCTGCAATGAAAGATAAGATTTGGACCATTGCCAATGATTGTTTCTAATTCAACTTTGCTTCAAACAGGTATATATCTGGAAGTATTACTGAAATTGACAATAGGTTACAAAAACAATGGAAATGAATACACAGTTATTGAAGATACTTTTTTGCTATTAACAGAGATTAGGGACACTTACATTTCTCTTGCAACTCCAGCTGGACTTTACTTCATATCTTTTATCCTATAATATGAAGAGCAGATTTGATTTTTGCATTCAAAATGCTTTCACAAAGCAGTTTAGATAAACTGCTTACAGGTGCTAGTTACTAAATGTTTATCACTTTTCATCTCTTGCTGGAAATGACTGCATTCAAAATTCCCCCCAAAAAACCTTGGTTGCCAATATCTAAATATTAATTAAATTTGCAATAGACTGTGAATTATACTCAATTATCAGTCACTACACACTTCAAGAAAAATAATGAAGAATAATGCTCCAAGAAAGGCAGCATACTTGAAACTCAATGTGATTAAAACATCATTAACTAGTGATAAAAATATAACGATAATTACACTGTCTTTCTGCGATGGCAAGATCTGCTCTCCATTTAATGGAATCTGTAGACCCGTCAATGAGTTGATGTTAAACTATAAAAGAACGAAAAATGTTCCTGATTCTCAACAAATAATTAAATCTTCAAAAATACTTCATATTTAGCTTTTGCAACATAAAATAAATGAAATAAACCCAGTAACAAGCAGAAAAATCCAGTAACAAGCAGAACAAGCAAAAAATAGCTGAGACATTCATGTGCTATATCTTTATACTAAACGCAATGGTGACTGAAACCCTTTTCCCCCATGGTCAATGTTGGTTAAGATGGTTACAGAACAAGTGGAGATTACAACATTGGGAAAGGGGGGTAGATGCTTTGTAAGTAGTTTCTTTTTTTGCAAGTGTCTCAGCATTTTTCACCAAGATTGTAATTACAAGGGAAACAACCAAATAACAAGCAGATCAACACAGTAACAAGACAAACTGCAGAGAATGGCAAATGCACATCTTTTGTAAAATTTCCCTGCACACCTTGGAAAGGGTGTGGCATTTTGAGATCTGGGTGAGACAAGGGTGTGTCCTATTGCAGGCCTGGCCGTTTGTATTTTTGTAGGTGAGCTATTAATCGCTCCCCTCATTTGCAGAGGCGAGATAAATCAGTAACAAATAGAATGTACTTTAAAGGCAATCGACAGATGGCTTAAGCCCCTTTAGTATCTGCCCATTACTTTAAATAGCCTTAAAATCAAGGGGTATGCTGTTTTACTTTTTCAATTTATATATGCTTTAAATAGAACAGACTCTTTCAGTTTCAAGTAAAGCTTGTGCAAAACATGAGAACTACTCAGGGGCGCCTGTACAATATTAAGGCAGGAGGGGCAGTGTTGGCGCTGAGGGCAAAGAGTTTTATTTTTTCCACTTCCATAATCGATTATTTGTGGGGGGTTTGATGATGGGTGCAAAACAAAATATTGGCATCAACCTGTTCCACCCATACAGCTGGAATTTTTTCTATAAAAGACTCTAAACATATTCATAGGTTGACAAAATTCTTCATGCAATTGGGTATTAAATGGCCTTGTCATTTTTAGAAAAGTTTGGTTTTGCGAAAATCATGGCAATTAAAAATTGGCTGGCTGTAATACTTTGATTTTCCGCTTAGTCTTTATGGTTGCAGCATCATTGAGAGTGTAGAAAGGAAAATAATAATCACAATTATCCAATGTCAATCAAATAACTTTTTACTTCAGCATGTTTTTTATTATATTTTTTTATTATGTTATTTCATTATATTTATATTAATCATGAACTAAGCGTAACATTCTTGTTCTTATGATGGGCAAAATAGTCAGTATCTTATAAGCAAACGTTCCTTTTTAAGTTTATTATCATTTTCTAGAAAATAATTTTCCGTTACCAATGACCAAATGCAAAAAAGGAGATTTTTTTATTTTTTTGAATTTCTAATGGGTGAGACTTACATTTGCCGGAGCTTGTATAAGAACAAGCTTCTTTTTCTTGCTAGAGGCATTCTGGTAGTCTAGCTCTGCTTCAACATCTTCAAATTTAAAATCAACTGGTTCATACTTCGACAACTTATCCATCATTACAAAGATCCAAACAACTGCTCACATGTGAGCATGAAAAGGAGGTCGAGGAGTTAAGAATTAGTTCAAAACGAGGGAGGAAAATTGGGGAGTATATCTCTTTACTCTTTTGCCCCCTCATTATTGGTTCCCATCATGAAAGCTAAACACCGTTTAATATATTTCTGTATCTGCAAAACTGGCTCGCTAAATAATTTGAAGAGTGGATGTTCGATTTGATTTTTGTCAAAATGCAAGCATAGGGGAAAAATGTACTTGCCATGCGCGCGATGAATCACAGGGGTTACAGCAAATGTCAACACTGCTCCCGCAACATTTCAGGACGAATACACCACATTGTTTTGAATGATTAAAGATTCGTCGATAGATCGAGATATTCAAAACAAAGGCAGCACAAAAGTTGCATGATTGTTCTAGCAACAAATGTAACTAGTTCTATTGCCATAACATAGATGAAACTTTAAAAAATAGGCATTAAGTATGTCTCGATTAAAATTTCCATTAAAACTGATGCAAATTTCAATCTGGAAATGCATTTGCATACAAGTACATATTTTCACACACCACAAAAGAATAAAATAAAATACATAATTTAGATGCAACAAGCAGAAAAGGGCGAAAAGACACCAACCTTTAGAAAGTTGAAGACATTTTGCAACCAGAGTTTGAAGAATCCAGGAAAATCTACACGTTTTCCCCATTGATGATAGGAAATGATACATCCAAAAGCTGTTTTGTTAGGCAATGAAAATCACTTGAAAATTGTCAAGCACTAGAGTGGTACAATTCTTGAACAAAAATTGTCAGAGAAGAGGTTCCGAAAAAGACATCTCCCTTGACCGAAGATAAATAAAAATGCGACTTGTGCTAAACACGTGCACTACACAACATGTCTTCAGAAACCATTCCAACAACCACTGAACAAAATCTTCAAAATTTTCCATTTGACTTTAAATTGACTTTCCCAAAATAGGAAGCCACTCAATGCAATGCTATTATAAAGTTAAAAATTAGTGATTGAGAAATAAAAGCCCACAGTTTTAGATGCAAACCTTTAAATCAGTCTAAAAATTTAGATTAGCCAAGTAACTTTGTAATCAATAAGAAATGATTTTAAAGAAATTGTCGCGAGAAAAACTGTAACCTACAGAAAAATCTAGATTTTGCTACAAAACGAAACTATTGCCAAAGTAAATGCCAAGCAACAAGGTTTTCCCTGGTTATTATAATTAATTTTGATTGTATTGCCTTTTCATGTAAAATGGAAGAAACTGACCGCTACTTTTGATTATTATGAATGTGACTTCCTGATCGATAAGGAATATGAAAAAATTAAATTGTCGCGAGAAATAGTGTAGCCTAGAGAGAAATCTAGATTTTGCTACAAAACGAAACTATTGCCAAAGTAATTGCCAAACAACAAGGGTTTTGCTGGTTATTATCGTTTCTTTTGAATGTATTGCCTTTTCATGGAAAAAGGAGGGAAGTTGCCGTTACTTTTGTTCATAAATGTGACTTCGTGTTCGTTCATGTTCAAAATTAATGGCAACTTTCCCCCTTTCTACATGAAAAGGCAATACAATCAAAAGAAATGATAATAACCAGGGAAAACCTTGATGCTTGGCAATTACTTTGGCAATAGTTTCGTTTTGTAGCAAAATCTAGATTTTTCTGTAGGTAACCCTTTTTCTCGCGACAATTCAGCCTTTTCATATTCCTTATCGACCACGAAGTCACATTCATAATAATCAAAAGTAGCGGTCAGTTTCTTCCATTTTACATGAAAAGGCAATACAATCAAAAGAAATGGTAATAACCAGGGAAAACCTTGATGCTTGGCAATTACTTTGGCAATAGTTTCGTTTTGTAGCAAAATCTAGATTTTTCTGTAGGTAACCCTTTTTCTCGCGACAATTCAGCCTTTTCATATTCCTTATCGACCACGAAGTCACATTCATGATAATCAAAAGTAGCGGTCAGTTTTTTCCATTTTACATCAAAAGGCAATACAATCAAAAGAAATGGTAATAACCAGGGAAAACCTTGATGTTTGGCAATTAGTTTGGCAATAGTTTCGTTTTGTAGCAAAATCTAGATTTTTCTGTAGGTAACCCTTTTTCTCGCGACAATTCAGCCTTTTCATATTCCTTATCGACCACGAAGTCACATTCATGATAATCAAAAGTAGCGGTCAGTTTTTTCCATTTTACATCAAAAGGCAATACAATCAAAAGAAATGGTAATAACCAGGGAAAACCTTGATGTTTGGCAATTACTTTGGCAATAGTTTCGTTTTGTAGCAAAATCTAGATTTTTCTGTAGGTAACCCTTTTTCTCGCGACAATTCAGCCTTTTCATATTCCTTATCGACCACGAAGTCACATTCATAATAATCAAAAGTAGCGGTCAGTTTCTTCCATTTTACATGAAAAGGCAATACAATCAAAAGAAATGGTAATAACCAGGGAAAACCTTGATGTTTGGCAATTAGTTTGGCAATAGTTTCGTTTTGTAGCAAAATCTAGATTTTTCTGTAAGTTACCCTTTTTATCGCGATAATGTTTCATCTCAATATTGTAATTTCAATAATGTATTTCATCTTTACGTTCACTTTTTATAGCCTTAGTATTATTAGATATTGTAAATTAGGTTTGATTGGTAAATTTCTTTTGTTACTAGTATTTTAACATAGTTATTAGCTCTTATTTTATTCTTTTAAACAGGTCAGGTTGAAAAACATATGTATGAACCTTTAACCTGTATAAATATTATAAAATGAAAATGAAAAATGAAAATAATTTTATATAAATGTAGATATTTCGACATTTACCTGCAATTTTGTTTGTTGTTTTGAAATAATGATTAAAAGTTCTTTCTTGATATACCTTGATTAAGCATTTCTGTTTTATAAGTTTCTTCCAGTAGTATGTCTACTAGATTTCCGAAAACAATTAACTTTTATACTTTGACTTTGAAGTTTTTACTGCATATATTGAAGCCATGTGGAGTATTTGCGCCCGCGATTCCGTGCCGCCATGACCAGCGTCATGCATTTTTCCCCTATGCTCAAAATGCACAATACCTCTACTTCAGAACGAGACTATGATGTAGGCCAAAACACGAGGGAAAAAGGATAAAATTTGTACAATTAGAAAAGGATTGCGAACTTTCTGAGCGAAAAAAATGGCGGGGAAAAGACCCGAACATTTAGCCCCACCAGAAGTATTCTATGACGATGAAGAAGCAGCCAAGTACACGACTAATAGTCGCATGATGGAAATCCAGCGACAAATGTCAGCAAGGGCGGTTGAACTTCTTGCTCTTCCAGAAGACGAGCCTTGCTTTTTGCTGGATGTTGGTTGTGGATCTGGATTAAGTGGGGAATTGCTATCAGAATATGGACATTTTTGGCTCGGGGTTGATATCAGTAAGGCCATGCTAGATATAGCTCATGAGCGAGAGGTTGAGGGTGACTTATTCTTGGGAGATGCTGGCCAAGGACTCATGTTCCGTCCGGGAACATTTGATGGCTGCATTAGTATATCGGCCCTTCAGTGGCTTTGCAACGCAGATAAAAAGACACATAACCCAGTTAAACGTCTCTACAAGTTCTTTACTTCCCTTTATTGTTGTTTAACTCGAGGAAGCAAGGCAATCTTTCAATTCTATCCAGAAAACCCATCACAAGTTGAGTTAATCACAAGTCAGGCTATGAGAGCTGGTTTTACAGGAGGAGTTGTTGTGGATTACCCCAACAGCACCAAAGCAAAAAAGATGTTTCTTTGTCTCTTTTCAGGAACAGTTATTGGTAAACTTCCAGCTGGACTTGGGACTGAAGCAGCACAGGGTTTAGATGCGGTCGCATATACTGGTAAAAGAAATAGGTTTATGAAAGATACAAGGAAATCCATCAAAAAAAGTAGAGACTGGATTCAAGAGAAAAAAGTAAGAAGAAAAAATCAAGGAAAAGAGGTTAAAAGGGATTCTAAATACACAGGAAGAAAGCGAAAAACCAAATTCTAGCATGCTTTTCTGTTTTAAAAACTCTACATTAGAAGCTAAAGAAAAATTTGCATTTACTTATAGAATGAAAACACCTGTAAGTAGATAGTTAATTATGTTTAGTCTTAACTTGGTAGAAGCAGAAGTGGCCTCACAGTGTCATAATCCTTGTTTGTTACAATGAATTTTGGGTTAAAAATTGATCTGCATATTAACTCAAAGACCGTAATCATTTGAATATACTTATTTGAATGAGGTGAATAGAATATTTTAGGATAACTTCATAAGGAGGCAGTAAAGCACACTGACTTCAGCATTGCACATCAAGAGCTGAGTCACAGCGTATGGCATTCTGTTGCATTTCGCTTTTAGGATGGTTATTTTATGTGTTGAATTTAGGTGTAAGAATTGTCAAACAGCTAAGGAAAAACAGTCCTTTAATAGGGTTGGAAGTAAGATTGGTGCTTTCAGTGGTTATATAGACATAACTGGTGATTTCATTGATTAAATTTCACCTTTTTATTAACTGGTAGGTCTATCATGTCTTCAAGATACTTTTGCTTTTCTGTTAATTTTTTGGATTTTTTTTAAATTTTACATAGATCCCTTCCTGTTTCATAACTGATGCCTTGCAAGATTGTCACTTGAAACAACTAGCCAAAAACTTCTGATATAAATATTCAACTGTTCATGTGTGAACATATGCCAAAAAATTTTAAATGCAAGGACAGTCCAATCCATCCATTTAAAAAAAATTTAGGATATTCCAAAAGTATGATTAGTATCATTGTTGTTAATGTCCATGATTATGTTTAACACTATTTTGCTTAAAATCCATTTATTTTGGTTAGTATCAGATTTCCCATTATTCTTTCTAGTATATGCTCATATATACTCACATTTTATCACTATATGCCTAATAAAGTCTCTGTTTTGGCCATAGACATGTGATTATTCAAAACTGAACGGTTTTGGGGAAGGCTAACTTGACATGGTAAATCATAAATCAACAAGATTTGGGACCCAAAATTGGATGGACAGTGAACTGGCCCAAAACACCTTAATTTATAATTTGATTTATTATTAAGTTATATGAAGCTGCAAACAGATGCTTTAATGCAAAAAATTTCAAAGAAATTGTAACCAACTGTTCATCTTTTTTCAAATTCCAACAGGGGGCTTGTTCAAAACTTCAATCTAAAAAAGCAGATATATTCAGTATGGGGAGCAGAAGCAAGTCAAGCTATTGCATTGCCAAGAAAAAATTGGCTCGATAGATACGTATCTTAGGTTTTAGCTTATTTTTAAAGATCTTGTCTTAACATTGTTATTTTTAAGTATGATGTTTGCAATGTTTCGTTTTGGCTTTTGAATATAATTTCATTCTCTTGAATCTAAATCAGAAGATATGGAAAATGTTTTCATCACAAGTAGACTGCTTAAAAAGTTATTCACTTAATTTCTCGTACCAATGCCTTGCATTGAGTTTGTGTTTTGAGCTGTGCCATCCAAACACCGGTATAACAACAATACACAGTTATTGCTTTACACTGTCAGATTATTGGATAATGATGCTTTGTTATTGAAAATGAGTCTTGCAGAAGCAGAATACAGTCTATTTATTGTTATGTATACTTCAAACGAAATTAAAAAGGTAGAGAATGTAGATTAAATACAAAAGATTCTTACTTCAACAGGTGGTGTATGGTTGAATCTGTATGGTATGGTTGAATATTGTCAAGTGGTGTCTAAGATCATTCAGAGTTTCACTAATTCACACTGATTTTCATTTCCCTTCAGATTTTCCAGTCTTTAGCCAGTCTTAAGTCGGGCATTACCCAGATGACCTTCTCACTAGTTAATCATGCGCAACTGAATTTCAAAAGATTTGGCTTATTCATAAGTATTCAATATACATATACTTGAATTGATTTACTTAAAATTTGATGGGTAATATTTTTCAGTATGTTTTACAGTTCTGTTACTTGCTAAGTATGATCTTCTATGTTCAATTCCAACCACGTAAAGCCCAGGAACGTGTCACCGATGACCGATCACTTCTTCCATCTTTTATGAAGATCAAAGAAAAAGTGTTCCCATTGGGTCATTGATCGGGGACAAGTTTACACCTGTCGGAAATCGATAGAAAATTCTGACAACCAACCAACAGCAAGCATAAACGCGGAAAATGACTTTCCTCGGCTTGGTTAACTACATCCAAGTGACTGATTTTTAAACAACAGTAGATCGTCGACATCGGTGACCCGTGTTCCATTAAAGTTTTCATTTATCGGATGAATCGTAAGCGGACTCAACCCTCCCGACCCTTGCTATTCACAGTCGGCGCAGACTTAACGATCGCAAGAAAGTGTTCCCATTTAAAGAGGATATGACACGAAAATAATATTAGGTTTATTTCAACCAAGTTTAACGCGCAGATTTCAAAACTTTTTTCCTTTTTTCGATACGATATCTAGTTCATGAAATATTCGGTTTTAAATTCGGAATTTCGCACACTTCGATGGCAGAATTTGAACGCGGTCAGAAATTTGGCGCCAGAAGTCTGTGACGTCAGATGTTGGACAGAATAAGCGTGCTTTGTTGTGTTAGATTGCCACCTACACGTTAAGTGCGAAATGAAATCCGCTTGCAATAATTTCCTGTTGTTTACTTCTGTGACAAATTATCAGCTTTTTTGAATAACTGTTGAATACGTATTCAGGAAATTTCGTAAAGGTAATTTTTGGAGGATTTACGTTTGCCAATAGCTTGCACAATAATGCCGTCACGTCCCTCAACTTCCATACTAATCTTTGTATGCATGATTATGTGCGTTGATTATTGAGATTTCCGACTTTTTAATAATTGAAAAAACCTTTTGAGTTCACAAAAGTATAAAATAGGGGCGTAAGATGCAGTTTTTAGTTCAGAGCATCAGCTCAAAACAACGAGATTTGAAACAAGATTTCGAATTCAAATCAATAAGTATGCAAGAATCTACAAGGCCGATAAACAAAAAAGTGAAACGTGGGGGGCAATATTGCGTTGCCGGATTACCAAATGGGGAGAGCTGTACAAACAGTAGTTTGACGCCAGGTATTAGTATGCACCGTTTTCCAAGTAAAAACCTCGATTTGCGAAGGCAATGGATTCGTTTCGTCAGAAGACATCGTGCCAATTTCAATCACCAAGCCTACTCGATCGGCCCTTACCTGTGCTCAGATCATTTTGAGCGCTCTTGCTATGAAAAACCGTTTGCTTTAGAGCTTCCTGGTTTTGACAGTTCCAAAACGAAGAGGACTTTAAAAAAGGATGGTATTCCAACTGTATTCGACACACGAGGACGAAGCCAGGCATTTAGTGAATCGTCTTCAAAGGTGGCAAGAAACAGAAGAACTGTGAGTATAAAATATACCTTTGAGCTTTATCTATGTACAGTCTCTATGAAAATGACTCTCATCATTCTCAGATTCAAGGTTTTCGTAATTTTTTCAATAAAGTTTTTTAACAAACTATATATTAGTTTCTTAAAATTTACCATTTCCTCAATTTTAGTTGTTAAGAGGAATCAAACAGCACGAACACGCTAACAAAAATGAATGTGCTTCAGGACAGTTCGATGAAGAGATAGAAGAGGTTGAGGTAGGCGAAAATGCGTTCACAATTGGAGACTCTTTCACCATCGGGGAACAGCACAACGATTCTGAAGAACATGTAGACGTTGTTCCATTGCAGTGCCAAGTTCATCTGACAGGTGCCCCCGTACACACATGCCCCACATGCATAACCCCTCAACGAGAAGAGGTTCAAGGAAATATTAGAACACATACGGCAATACAGGTGGCAATGATGTGCAAGAAATGCACTGAAACACGGAAAAAAATTCAGAACCTAAGACGTCAGAACAACAGGCTAAAACATGTTATAAGGACACTACGGGAAGGCAGCGAAAAGAATGTAAGTAAAGCTAAAGATAAATCTGCATCATTTCTCGACTTTAGACTGTTCCAGGAGCTTTTAAATTTCTGTTTTCACAAAGTAAATTTGTTAAAACTATATATGCAAAAAGTCAGTGGGCTTCACTCTGTCATCTAGAAAAACGTGATAGTTAGAAATTTGAAGCCAAGGACAATGAGCCTTTTCTGGATATATGCCCAAGAGAAGGGGGTTCTGTACACACATCCCACTGAGAAGGCTTGGAAATGCTAGTACAGTAAGTCGTATCTATTAATCTGTTATTTTCTAGGAAGATAGCGGTAACCCTATTCCTGTTGAGGATATACTTCATGCTGAAGAGTCAAATGAAAATTTATCAGAAGACGAGGACAGCGAATGGAAAGTTGATGAAGCAGACAGTTCTCCTGGTGACATGTCAGATAGTGATGGGACTGATTTTGATGATTATGATTATGATGATACACATAAAAAGAGGCAACAAGTGAGGTAATGCTACATATTCTGCTGAGCCAATTTTTCATTAGCCAAGCAACAAATAACAAAAAGTCCTTTTTTCCCTTCCATATGTTGTATAATATTTTGACAAAATTATCATTTTTATGTGATGTAGGGAATGTCAGGGAAATGCATTAATATATATCTTTTTTGTATCTTTATCGCAGAATTGACCAAAATGCAACTCCAGAAAAAGAACCCAAGTTTATTGTATTTTATACAATGCTACTACAAGTCTTTTCAATCCTCTGTTTCAAGTGTAAAAAAACTAAGCCAGGAGTCAGAATGGAGCAGAATGGGACAATGGTAACTGTTTATCAGAGTTGCATCGAATGTGGGAAAGACTGTTGGAAATGGAGGTCACAACCATACGTTCTTGGTCGTTATCCAGCTGGTAACATCTTGCTTAGTCTCAGCACTCTTACAGCAGGAGCATCAATCAGCAAACTGCTATTAATTTTCAGACACTTCGGCCTTGCCACTTACAGTGCACATACTTTTTTCCGTCATCAAAAAAAGTTTGTTTTCCCTGCAATTCTCCGTCACTGGGAGCTATATAGAGCATCATTGCTGACTGAGCTTCATGGTGTTAAAGACATTGTCCTATGTGGCGATGGTCGATTCGATTCGATGGGGCATTCAGCAAAATATGGCACTTACACGATGTATTGTGACAATATAAAAAAAATCATACACTTTGAATTGGTTCAGGTAATGGAAAAATCATAAACCATTTTTTCTATCAATCTAATTTATTTGTAAGTGACTTGTTACAGAAAGCCCAAACTTAACAATTTCCTTTCTTTATTTCGAATAATTCGGTACATGCCACATGAAAAAAGCCAAACAGATAGAAACTTAATTTTTAAAGTAAGTTAATTAATAAGATTGTTTTCAAATGGAATCAAATATCAAATATCTAGCATTAAAAAATCATTAATAAGGTCAAATATCAAGTCTTGAACCTTATAAAACCAAGAGAAAGCACTGGTTTGGACTTCAAATGTGTCTATTTGTAGACAAAATTAAATACTGTTGTTATAAGTCATCAACCATAAACTTGTATCTTCATATTTGTGTGTTTAATAACCTGACATCAATTTCAACTTTGAATTAAACTGATGTACATTTTCACCCTCTTTATTTTATTTCCTGTATAGTCAAATGAATGCAAAGGTAGTTCCAATATGGAGTTGCTTGGTGCTAAGCGATGTTTCGGATACCTAAATGATGCCGGGATAGAGGTCTCCAATTTTATATCAGACAGACACAGAGGAGTGGCCAAATGGATAAGGGAGTCTTTACCACATGTCCATCATTATTATGATATTTGGCATGTTGCACGCACCTTAACCAAGAAGGTAACAATAGCTAGCAAGGAGAGAAATTGTGAGATATTGGGTACCTGGTGTTCAACAATCCGCAACCACCTCTACTGGTGTGCAACATCGACAAAGGAAGGTTTTGGGAAACTCATTGTCGCAAAATGGAAGGCTTTCTCAAATCACATCCAGAACAAGCACAACAACCACGAAGACAAACTGTTTCAGAGGTGTGCACACGGAGAACTAGATCATAAACGTAGATGGATTCTCAATGGTTTGTATCATTTTGTCAAATCACTGCATTTTATACAAAATGTAGCCCCTTTCATAATTTAATGGTTTTTTTTAAAGAGAGGCAAACACCATTTAAAGTTCCCTAAATGGTCTTGCTTCAACTTTGAAACCTAAGAAAATAAACAATTGTGCTGATTGTTAAACTTCCCATATACTTCTCCTTAACAGCTAACATAAAATAATAGTATTAAATATATGTAATTCAACAGGAACTACTGCATATGACAAGATTCAGCCAATTCTAATGAATCAAAGCCTTCTACAAGACATTGCAAAATTGTCATCAAATGCACAAACCAGCTGTCTCGAGGGATACCACTCTACACTGAACCAATGGCACCCAAAGATGACACATTACTCCTGGATTGGCTCTCTGTGCAGGTACTTATGACTAGAGATACCAATCATTAATTAAAAATTACTGAGCATTGTGCATTGTATTGTTTTTCACTATACTATCTTTACTACCTGCCAAGCTATCTTTGGAGAAAATTAATTGCTGAGAAAATTTGTCAACACTGAGTAAATAACTGAAATTTAAATTTTGGATATTGTTGCTTCCTGTAAATTGTACTTCTAGAGAGTTTAAGAAAGTGCCAACGTGTGCAACAGTATTTGAATGCCATTCCTAGCAAAAACACAGCCTACTTTACATAAATGTATAATTTTTATTTGTATCAGTATCAACAAAATAAAACTAAACTTCATTTGTGAGTCAAACAGAAAATGTATCCAAATACCCAACAAAGAACTGTTATATTTTTTCCAAGGCATATAATGGCAGTTTCACATTTCAACGAAAACCTGCACAGGGAAGCACAAAAAGACAAAAATGGAAAGGAATATTTCAAAGTTTCTTATCCTAAATATAAACTTGGCGAAGAAGCAGTAAAACCTGTTCCAGTCCCTCCATCTTACAGTGAGTAGACAGCATACAACATATAATCTACATAATCTTGCCATATAAAGAAAATCAATTCATATTTTGCCCTGAGAAATGGGAGATGAGAAATGCTATTGTATTTTTCAAGAACTGATATTAGTTTAAATATATTAGATAAAATATTAGTTTTATACATTTTTACAGAAATTATTTCAAATCATGTTTAATATTCAAAATAATTGCTTTTATATTTTCAAAAAAATTATTACAGATTACGTTGAGCATACAAAATAACTTTTATTTAAATCAAACGAAGAAGAACTTGGCCAGATTTGGAAAAAGTATGCTGATAAGATGCCTGCATCCTTGGTGAGCAGATTTGAAAGAACAAAAAGTAAGAAAGAGGCTGTAAAAGAATATAAAAAAAGGAGAACACTATTTCAACCATTATACCCTTCAGGTAATATACTTATTTGGCCAGAAAATAATCGTTTTATTTGCCTTTTCATTTAAAGTTTTGTTGATTAATCATTAAAACTGTATGATGAAAAATTTTGCCATTTTTTATTCTAAATTTAATAATCAATGTTTATCTTACCAGAAAATGATCAATACAAACTCCAAGAAGATTTGGTAGCTGAGCAAGCATGCAACAGAGCTGATCGTTTGCCAAAAAGAAAGGCCCCTTCATGCAAAAAATGTGGCCAATTGATGAAAGGACATTCTAAGACTTTATGCAAAGAATGACTTAAAGAATTATATACACTTGCATGAAATTAAATATAACAAAAGCTAATTGTATAAAGATAATCTATATATGTTATTAGTTACGTTCTTCTGCATTTTTATATCCAATCTTCTGGTTAGACATAAACTTTTCACGGATGTTATGATAAATGCATGCAGGCAGAGGCCGTGTATTGTCCCATCCCATGTATCCAA